TTGTTGTTTTCACTTGATCGATAAGCTGCTGGTAGCAATTTGCAAATGCCAGCAATTCTGACATTCTATGAACTTGAAATCTTGATAAAAGGCTCTTATTGCTCTTTTGCTTCCTCAACAAATCTTCTTAGCATTGTTAAATTCTGATACAGATCTCTAAAACCAGATGATAGTGACGACCCCTTTTCATCTCTCTACTGAATTAGCTGTTTTGAATTTTACGTTATTTTCATTTACTGAAGCACCCTCCCAATAATTGAAGCCTAAGCCTTATGTCCTGTATAACAGTGTACTAAGCCGCCCCCCCCCCCCAATATGAATTTCGTTCCCACAGCACTGTCTCTGACAGTCAGATGCCCTGGGCATCAGAGCCACATAAATTAGAGAGCGGAAATAGAAGATAAGAGTACGCTCATTCGCTTCTCTGCTTGGCATTCTTTCTACGCGCTCGAAATTTTGTGGCTCTGGGACCCAGGGTATACGTAAGATTGAACACATGGCTGAAATAACGGGAACCAGGGTTTGGGTGGTTTGAAGCGCATGTATTGGGACTTTAATCGCAATATAATCAGTCTAGGGCATTAAGTATTTGACATGAAGTTAAAAAATTTTCGCCAGCGTGGAAAGGCCCGTAAATTTTTTGTACACAGGGCCAGACCGATCGCCACTTTGCCACCCGGGCCAGACCGCCCCTAACCACACTCGTTGCTTGTAATTATTCTTCAGCACAATGCGTCCCTCCCCGTATCTTTAGGCCTATAAAATACCTTCGGGGTACACTTTCACGACAAAGATTTCTAATTTGGCCTTACCAAGAGGAAAGAAATTTGATTCATATTCATTCAATTTGATTCAAAGGTGTGGTCATAGCTCAGCTGATTCGTAGCACAATCAACTGATTTTGCACATTTAGAAGCATTTCATAATGTCTTTTAAGATATATGGCTAAAATTGAAAAATTCTACTCGATATCTACGCATAAATGATTAACTCACAATAGATCAGAATTTATAATCCCCTCATTGTGATTGGAGATCGAAACCATTGCCAGCTGTAATCGCTTCCAATTAATTTTTCTCCATGGACTATAAAAAATGAAATGAATAAGAGATTTTTGCTTACTATTCAGTTCTATTGATTGGGCTGACATCAAATATTCGATTTTCGTAACTTTTATGACTACGTTCCAGATAATTTTTATGTTGAAAATAGAAATAACTGACAGAAAGTGTTTTATTTCTTTACTCACCAAAATATTTTCCTTCCACCAAAATTTTTCATGTTCTCACCGAAATTTACACGGGATTTTGAAAAATATGACGGAAATTTTTTCCACCGAAAGTTAATCCAACTAAACTTTTGCAACTGGATTTTTTGGTACTTAATGCAAACTCCAGAGGCAGGGCTGGTGAAACGAAAATGGGGGCTGGAGGCAAAATATTAAGATTTTTCTTGGCCAGAAAATGCATCTAAAAATTTACAACATCGATTGATGATCCTAGGCAATCTTTTTATGCTTTTCTTTTTAGTTCTGCACCATAGTTTAGTTTGGTTTGATTTTGACATAATGATGAGAAGAAGTTTCAAAGCTTTATAAAAAACGCTCAAACGCCAGAAACGGACAATGTTTAACCAAATAAGGTATGAGGTGAAAAAGGTGCCAGCATTTCGAAGGTGAAGAGACAGGATCAGAGAAGCTGATACTAAGACTAGATAGAAGCAGGGTGATCTAGAAGGGGGGTGAAACAAGAAGAAGAAGACACACGAGTACTTTAAAAAGATGCAACTATACATTTACTCTGGTTGTTTATAAAATACTTACATTTATTATATATAACACAATGGTATAATTAGAAACTGAAAGGTATATGAATTATGCACAGCTATATTTTTAAACATTAGGAAGCAGGCATTGATTAATAAATGTTCATTCAATGTTGCCTAGAACACTATGATTATTCCAAAACATTTTACAGCCCACTGAGATTTGTAGATGATAAGATACAAACACATGTCATTTCGTGTTTTACAAGAAAAGTATTTCAGGGCCGGCGAAACGTATTTGAAAGTGGGGGGGGGGGGCAAATATCAAAGTCTTGAAAGGCTTAGAAAAGGCCTCCACCATGGTTGGCGTCAAGAAAATTTTTAGAATTATGGTGTCTTAGGGATGGCCAGAAACTGTATCTAAAATGAATTTTGACTGAAGGTGTCGCATAGTCGCGTCTATTGTGATGTTGACTTGAGATAGAAAAGTTTTGCAAAGTTTTAGAATAACAATTATCATATAGCTCATAATGAAACCCTTTTTTAGCTTTTAAAAATACCCGAAATAAGATGGGGGAGAAAAATAAATGAAACACGGATAAAAACATAAATGTTGAAATATCAACATAAGAACTATCAACTAGAAAAAAAAAGTCAAGCAATTTTGTACAGTTAAGATATAACTTTGCAACGTCTGATCATAACTTTTTCAGAAATTAAGTGCTTTAACAAACCTTCAAACTGGGCTTGCCAAAATGAGTTTAAATTGAATTTATAATTGCGTCAATATTTTCTCTTTCTTAGTAGGAATGGATTATTCAAACGATCAAACTCTGAAGTTTTCTTGATGATACTTTTCAAGAACAAATCTGCCCATACTTTATTTTTCATATCCTCAAAAAAGTTCTTTCCAGCTGTTTCTTGTCCTTCAACAGCTGCTTTCTCTCTTCCTGTAATATTTCTGAGAAAGTTTTTGCTAACAAATAGACATTGTGTGCCAAGTTTAGGCAATAGACTCCGTCAATTTATGCTGGCATCAAGTTATTCTGGACTAGGTTTCTCGATCTATTTGCTAAGCCAAGCTGTTACTCGTTGTAAAACTTAGACAATGACCAATTTCTTAGATCTAATCCCCATATTCATTTTTATGTATGTCTTCTATGGTAAAGACATAGCAACCAAAGTAAAGCTAAGGACACATTTAAGAGAATAAAAGGCAAAGTTACTTACAGAATATATACTACATTTATTTCCACTTTTGTTTAAAATTCTTCTTTAGCTCTGCAGAAAAGTGGGGAGCCATGCCCCCTGCCCCCTATTTTTGCCGGCCCTGTATTGATATGACAAAATTTAATTTCAATTTTTTAAACAAAGAAAAAAAATAATGTTAAAAAAGGGAAGGAAAATGTCATGATTTTCATAGCTGTAGGTGAAATATGATTGGAGTAGAAATAATGCATTACCTAAGACAAAAATTTGAAAAGGAAAACAATGGGCAGTTAGCCGAAAACATCATTTCCATTCACTTACTGCAATATTTGTACCTCTACAAGATATGGAATGTGCATAGTATTGGTCAAACAAACTCAAGCTTTTCTTTTTTAAAGACGTTTACAACTTTCACTTTTTTTCTAGATTTGTGTTCATATAAGTTTTGCTCGTATAAGCATTGTTCTTTTAAAAAATGCGTACTCAGTAAGGAGCAGCATTATCTGATAAATATTATCAACATTGATATGTGACGCTTACCCAGCAAGGGATACAGTTGTTTTCAACGTTTAAAATTTTGATTGTTTACCAGCTTCATGCGTTTGTTATTTATCCTCTAAAAACTGCATACATAGCTAAAGAAGTAGTGAAACAGATTTTTAAGGAATTCACTTCTTCCAGTCATGCTACAATTTCAAAAGTAATTAATTATCAAGAAATTTACTAAAATGACTTATGTATATAGCAAATTCCTTATGGCGTTTGATTCTGTTGATGCCATTAAATTCTGGTGATGCCATTAAATTCTGGTGATGACATTCTTTTCTTGCGAAAGTCTGTTCTCTTTATTTAGCGATTTATCTTGCAGAAAGTCTGTAGCCATATGCTGTAGCCTAAGATTAATTTTACAAAGTAACACCTAAAAGCTCTTTCCACTCCAAATGAAGAAATTAAGTATGGTAGGGTAACATTTCTAGTAAAGCAAACACTTAGACATTTTCAAAGTCGTTCAAAAAAACAAACAACTACGAAAACACGTTGAGACAATTGTACAATGTCTAATATTTTATTCACTGATTATGAATTTTTATTATTATAAAATTATTTACAGTTGGTGCCATACATAGCTTAAAAAGCTAATTCATACCAGCTATTTATATTTCTACAAAATTACAAAATTAGAATATAACCAAAAGAGAGAAATAATAAAACTTTTTTTAATCAACTTTTTTAGGATCTCACCATACCCACATATTGGTTATTTGCATAGTTGACAGTTACATTTGTCTCCATTCCATTGTTTGATCTTTCTTTTAAATATTGCGGTCGATCTAGCATTTTTTATGGCATCTTGAATTTCTTGTTTGTAGCTTTTTCTGCATTTATACAGACTGCTGAGGACCATCAGACAATTTCACAATAAAAGGGAAAAACAAGAAGAGAAATAGAGGAACAATTTTTAAGATACATCTTTTAGAATTCCAGAAAGTGCCCACGTCAAAATAATATTTTAACACTTGTATAATGTAACGTTTCTATGCACCTATATTTTAATCAAAATAATGCAAACTGTTTAAAAAAGAAACAAAGACTTTCTCTTCAGGTGAGACAGATTCTGAAATGGATGTAGCTGGCTACCATTGCAGTAATCGAATAAAAAAGTCCCTCTTTACCTTACTTATGTTATAAGATGCGAAAACAACTTTAGGGTAAAATAGTTCTTATTTTACAATGGATAGATTCACCTTGTAAAATGTAGACGGTAAGGATATAGATTTAGGACAGGCTATCTCAAGTGGACTGGGACAGTTTATTATTATAGAGGTGTTCTTCAGCTCTAAAATTCCAAAATGACAAAGAGGCAATAGCTTCTCAAATTACTATAACTAAAGGAAGTATGTAGTATAACTTAGGCAAGCGATATATTTCAGGAATTTCTCAATTGCCCCTTCTTTCACAGTTCTTTCGGAAAACGGCTTCAAAAAGTGCAGGGTTGAAGAAATTGAAACAAAAATAGAAGCTCAGTATCCTAATGAAACTTTAAATATACATAAACGTTATTAAATGATATTTAATTATGATACATAAACATTTAAACAATCTAATGACTATCATAAAAAAGGCATTGTCAATCTTCATTTGATATCAGGCTGATATCCGACATTTTCATCCCAGCCTTTGCGACAGTTCTTGACAATCCAGTCATGTTCATCATCGTCTAAAGATAAAATCGAGGTGACATTTGAAAAAGATACAATAGACTGAACAGATGAATCCATTATTTCTATAAATACAAGCCTAAATATTATCCTTTCAATCACAACGGAACAGGGGGGGGGGGGTGCTATAGCTCCAATATTTTGCCAACAACGTAAAGATTAAGAAATGCACAGCCGGTCAAGTTTCTTTTCATTCTGTTCTAGGGCCTGTTTATATGAAGAAAATCATCCCACCTTCCAGCCTGTGAGCTGAGAAGTGAGATCCCACTTTTTTGTAGAATCCTTTGTGTTTTTCGTTTTGCTGCATGAGAGGTGTGGGATCTCACTGAGGTGGGATGATTCTCTTCCATAAAAACGCTTGAAGGAGGGATGAAGCTGGAAGATTGGATAAAATGTTCATTTAAACGCGATCAAATTTTGTCCCACTTGTCAGCACACAGGCTGGAAGGTGGGATGATTTTCTCCATATACAGCTGGAAGGTGGCATAGAATCTGCATGTAAAAATTCGATGATTTCATACCACCTGCCAGATTATGGGCTGAGAGGTGGGATAAATATGCTTGCATTTACATTTTTTTCTACTAAAAATAAATCATATATAAATCAAACAGCACTGTTTTGAGATATGAAGAACTGTAGTTATTTCAGTGTAACAGTGCCACTGGCCCAATCGGACCTTCAATTCGATTACACAAGCGTAGCGAACAAAACTAACAGCGATCTATGATGTGCAAAGTATCTTATATCATATGCTTATATTAACTCGTTCTTGTGGGTACGCTTACTATGGCAGAGAATTGTATATTTGGTCCTATAAGAAATGAGAGCGGTCACCACTAACATTCTGAAATGTTTGCTGACGTATACAAATATCTATTGGACATTCGCTTTTACGTATCTCGAAAATCTACTCAATGGTATTCGATTTTATACATGATTCAGAACAACGGCAGGAATCGTTATATTTACCTTTAAAACCTTTCCTCGCAAATGTAACAAATGTAAGATGTATACATGATTCAGAACAACGGCAGGAATCGTTATATTTACCTTTAAAACCTTTCCTCGCAAATGTAACAAATGTAAGATAAAAAAGACAAGTATGTTATATTTTCAACAAGACTAGAAATTTTCCCATTTCAGGGAGGGAGGGGTTTCGCCCTCTCTGGCTCCCCTCTATCTACGCTACTGACTGGGACGGCGACGGCTCTAAGTTGGAACTTTGAGTTTCACAGTTAATGCAATTATCATTTAATATTTTATGAATAGTATATTAAAACACAGTACAGATTGAACAGAAGGTCATAAATAGTAGCAGTGAATGATAAATTGTTATAAATCATTCGTCGTAATAGATTCGGTTAAAAGGTTTGAAGGCAAATATTTAAGAAGCAAAACAATCTACGAAAATCATTCTAAAAGTAATTATGCATGCGGTGAGGAATCTTTACTTGAATTCATAATAAATGAGAATGATGAGGAAAACCATTACTCACCTGAATTCCTTAGGAATTTTCCATCATAATCATTGACTATTCGCGTGTTTGGATTGTAGAAACCATCACCACAGTCATAACAACCCTCTGGAATTTCTCTCGGTGGTATCCTATTGGTCAGCTGTGAACGCCCTTCGAAAAGGATGTCTTCGTTTAAGCAAACAAGAAGAAGTTGTCAAGGTAAAAAAGTAGCTTAAAGACATCAACGAATTAACTCCGCACTGATCTACACAGCTTAGCAGTTTTATAGGAATTCATTAAAATGTATTTTCGGCAACATCAGGAAAAAGATGATTTCTATTCTTTGACGTATTCTTTGACCAAAATAGACTTTTTAAACACACAAATTTTTAAAGGAATATAGTTTTTGGAATATTGAGGTTCAAAACTGCTAAAATTCAAAGCCACGCCCAAAAGTTATAAAAAGCATTTGTCTGCGTTTTTCTCTACAGCAACAGCTAAAGGCAGCCTTATTTTTAAACGGAGAGCTTCAGACCTTCTTTTTTTGATCTCCTAACAAGATTCACCCTGATTTTCCCATTGTGTGTTTATGTATATGCGAAGAATGTATACTAAGAATATGTTTAGGCACAAAATAGCAAATTTTAAGATGCTATATTTCTTTAAGGAACTTGAAAAAACGATGCATGTGAAGTTCTTGACTTTTACGGCATTTCTACCGACTATTTTGACATGATAACTTGATTTTACCAGATGTAGCCCACAATTCCTATACATGACATTAAAAAAAATTGAAGGAAATGCTGACTTTAAAAAAAATAGGCTCTTTGTGCAAAGATGTACAATACATTTAATAGCGTTTACAAATGCACAGACAGGGTAAATTTGAGCATGATATCACCATCTCTGTTTCTCTACCTTTTTTCAGGGATTTTACAAGGACTTCTAGTGAAATGTTAGGATTTATAGTCTGTAAAGGTCAGCAAGGTTTTTAAGGAGATTTCCTTTTTGTTTTGGATTATGATAATAAAATAGATTTCACACATTTACCTAAAATGTTTACAGTAAAATGCTTCAAAAAACCTATTAGCAACACAAAAATATCTGTAAAGCCTAAATCCATATCTCTAGGTCCAGTTGGGGGTATGCCTCACTTTCCTTTGGATACTGCTGTGCTTCACGTGGAAGATTAGACTTGTTCACACCGTGGCATAGGTCACAACAAAGGGAGAGTTGTTCAAGGAGTGAGACTTGAACAATTCTAATGGGCCTAGGGGTAGATCCATTTTCATAAACCCGATCTACTAATAAATAGTTAAAATAAATAATGATCAATATTTAAATATTTCTACCTTATAACATACTCAAACATTACATTTAATGGTTGTGGAGACAGATTTATATTCTAGCCAAAACAATATAAGGCTGAGCAAAAGGCTCTGCAAAACTCACCAGCTGGCTTCAATCCATTGCAAATTTCTGTGAAGAATCTTCGATCAAACCCATCACAGTATTCCCAGTCTTCTGGCTCATATTTAAGACCATCTGCAAATATGTATTGTCCCTGTTTGGAAGAAGAACTAAATAATTACAAAATATTTATTCATAGGCCTGGTGCATTTTATTTTACTGATAGCTTAAGCGTAGACCGCTATTGTGTAGACAAAAGGAGTCCATTTTCACCATAGGGCTCCATTTGTAACATTCTCAAAAGGCAAGCAACACCGATTGGTCAAACTAGGTATATATATATATTTCCTAGTGTAGAGTTTTCGATCTATGAGGTTTTAAACTCTGAAGAGTGTCAGACAAAAAGCTTTAGTTTACTCAAATGTTTGCTTTTTTCAAGCCATTTTCAAGTTTTGTACTACCAAAAGATTGTTTGATAGCTTATGTTTAGAAAATCTGAAGCTATATTTTGGTTGACAACTTATTCCAGGAAGAGGCTACAACCCTGTTTAACAACTTTTCTGAAAATTTCAACCTGATGGCATGAAAAGACCAAAACTATGTTGCCCTCAAACATTTCACATTTTTTACTTTGTTGACTTGTATCTTGAAGCCAAATTTAGCAGTACTTGGCTAAGGCATTTTAATTTTTTTAGAGATCAAAGAATATAACAAAACAAAAAGCCCTAACTAGTTTTGAGCATTATCAATGCACAGGATCATTTTTAACCCTATAAAAAGATCAATGACCAGCTAACATCCAGAAAAAGGTCAAATATTGCAAAAAATTGAGAAAAACAGGCAAATAATTCAAAAGATCATCTCTGACATTTTAATTAGTACTTTAAGCTTTATTGACATTACTGAGCAATTAACTGACAATTTCAAATTTTATTCCATTTCCCCTGTTTTAATAGTTTGAAATTATACCAGCATGTAAAGATCAATTATATAATTAGGCTTTTTATAAGAACAACACTTCTAGGAAACACCAGACTAAGATGTATCCAAAAATAAGAACAATAAAAGAAGCAAGGCAGGTTGAAATTCAACAAAACTCAAGAAAAAATTTAACAGCAAAAATTTACAAATGAAAGAAAAACAACAGGACCACATAAAATACTGAGCAAAATTGCATTTCAAACAAAGCTACAGTAACAACCTTACCAAAATAAATGTTCTTATGTCAAATATATTTCCTTTGCTGAAAATAAAACTGTGGATTCAAAGGCAACATCTCAGACAGTCTTTAATCACTTTATAAAGGACATGTCCAGAAACTACTATGCACTGGAAATTTGATTACAAAAATAAAAAACAAAATAAGTAACAAGTCAGGCTGAAATGATGCGAAAAAATAAGAAATGCCAGGCTGAAACTGTAGCCAAGTGTTCTTATGAAAAAGTGTGTACTTACTGTAACATTTACTCCCTTTTCCCATTCACCAACAAATTTACTACCATCTTGAAAATAAAGTGTGCCTTTCCCATGAAACCTGATGCAAAAAAAGAAGCTCTGAATTGTTACGAGAAATGAGAAAACCAATCATTGATTTGCATTGTTTATCTACATCTTTATAGAACTTTTGTTGTAAAATATAATCTTTACTTATGAAGTTTCGATAGAAGCTAGATTCTTACATTCCATCATTCATTTCACCCACATATTTTGTCTGTAAAGAAGCTGGGAATGTGAATTCTCCTTTTCCTTCCATTCTAGAAATGAAAATTAAAATATTTAAAATGTGAATTTCTAAGAATCAGCAATTTACTGATAGATCAGAAGCCTTAATGTGAAAATCGATGCACTCACATACAGACTGCCATTTTAAATCATTTTAACTAACATACAAATTTCTGATCAGCAAAGAGTGAAAGTTAAAATGAATCAGGGGTTCAGTAGCCATGAACATCGATATTTGAGACGTTCAGCAGAATTTGGACCTAATCTGTTGACATACAATACATAGTTAAACAATTTTGTTTGAAACTATTTGCCCACTATAAAACAATGATCTCACTGCACAATAGTGGTATCTAGTGGACTTCACAGTGTTATGGTTCCCAGTAAAGCAAAGTTACAATTAAAATGATGCAAAAAATTTATTTTGTCGAAAAAATATAAATAGATTTTTGATCTAAATTTTACAGAAGACAAATATGAGATGTGCTTGAGAGAGAAAAACAGATTTGGTAAAGTTTTTTTTTAAATAACCCTAAAGAAAAATATATCTTAAATGACATAACATGCCAGTGTACAAGGCAGGCTTCTCAAAGATTCACTTAAGTCTGCTGAAAACGGGAGAACCTTTCCTAACCAAGATGAATATATTCAAACAGATTCAAACAGATTTACAAGTTGCGTTTATGTGACTGAGTTCCTTCGCCTTGTGCTGCTGCATTACCAGCCAAATTTTAGTATCCGGGTCTAGTATGTACTATACCTTCCATTTTTGTAATCTCCATCGTACTTGCTTCCAGTATACTCCATCTTTGAATATTCACAAGCATTTATAGGTATCGTTTTACATATTTAATATCTCTAAAACAAAATTTATCAGGCGGCAGGCAGGAAACTAACCAGTTTCCATAACGACAACAGCAACCTCTTATAAGAGTTTAGTACGTAAAGTCTTTGTCTGAAAATGAGACTATGTTTTATTTATGGTCCGCAATTTACAATAGACATTCGATAAGAAGCGTAGCCAGTTTACACATTCAGAGGGTGCTGGTTTGGTGTAGCAAAATTAGATTTGTAATAAAATAACCCATTAAAAAAAGTCAAAACCACACAAATTGTCCTTGTATCATAGCCAGGGAGAAATTATCTTTGGAAAAATATGTCACTATGTTTTCAGTATGCTTTGGGAAGAAAACAATAGTCATTATAGGTTGATATGATCGAAATGTTTGATTGTTTTTTATTGAAAGGCCTTCATTAGCCAGAGCTTAAACCTTTCCTACTTCAAAACTTCTTAAACATGAGACTGTTGCCCTGCTATTTCCAGAATTATTAGAGTTTGTGCATCCCTCAACAAATTATGGCCATCTGTCATCCCTTTTGACAAATGTTTAATCAACAGTTGCTGTTGGTTTTCAAATAAACTTGGTATTCAGAATGATCCGGAGGCTTTTCTTATTTAAAGTTTTTAATTTGTACCCCTTATACTTATACTTACACTTATACTTAAAACTTTAAATAACAGTTTATGTTATGTGTTGCTGCTGAGATAAATGCCATAGTTTGTGCAGAATGCTTTGTCTTTATAGGAGCATTTACAATCTTCTCAAACAAATTGTTCCAACAAGTGTTCACTCTCTTACTAAAGGTTTTTTCCTAACATCCTAGAATTGCTGCTTTCTATATTGTATATATTGTGCATGTGTTTATATATCTCCAGGGGCGAAACTACCGGGGGGGTGTGGGGGGTGTGACACCCCCCCAATCCAAAAAATAGTCGATTTCACAGGGCAATCGAAGATTTCGCAGGGCGCCAAGAAGAGCTTTATTGCCACGCAGAAATGCCACCTCTGAAGTTCGTAAAGAGCCGTTTAGGAATTTTGAAATGGAAATATCGTATTTGTTATGAACCTCTCTTCCTGACATTGCATTATAGAGAACGGAACAGGTATGTAAGGAAAAGCTCCGTTATTTGCAAAGCGAAAGCATTTCTTACCGAAAGTCATAGCCAATGGATGCAATGATTGATGCATATGTTTATGAGGGCAAGGTTGAGTCATGCAAATTAATTTAAGTTTTAAATTATTTTCATGACAAGCACGGCGTCACTGGGGGGGGGGAATAAGGGGCTGAAGTCCCTCACTTTGGTCAAGATAGGAATTTTTTATCATTTTTTCTATTACCTTTTAACAGTGCATAAAAAACATAATAAATCGTTAAGATACCGATTTTGTTTCATCTAATTGCTAACTTTTTCACGTATATTTTTATTATTTTTCTTTTATTTGCATTAAGTCAGTAAATCACTTTCTGTATCATTGCAATGTTTTAATTTTGGATGGCCTTCTTGATACAAGAAACTGCACATTTCTGTTCAGGAAAAAAATTCTCCCAATCGAAACAACATCTTCCTCTGTCATTCACAACTACGTGCAATCTGAAACGAACGGTTGCCGTTTCTTTCCTTCCCCAACGTCTAACACTAGAGTTTTAGCATGACATCCCCCTCCCGTTTGTTTCCCAATTAACAATAATATTTTCAATAAACAATCAATTCTTTTAGTACAATAGTATTTTGCTAAATTTTTGTCTGAAAGATGCTTTTTAGCCCTTTTTACAAGGTTTAATTTCAAAAAATTTCTTCACGTCGGACCCAACCATGGTGGGTCCTCCTACCTCACTAAACTCGACTCTTAGCCCCACTGGGCTAAATTTCGTTCCGCTGTCTACATCATTACCCACCCCCCATCCCCCCCAATTAGCTGTTTATTAGCTTAATTTTGCAAACCAACATTAAATGAAGTGAATATAAAAAACAATTTACGCTCACGTAGAGAAATAGAAATTTCATAGGCAATGAAGTTTCAAGTTTGTTTTTTTTGCTTAGAAGTTTGTCCTTGGTAAAGACCAGTGTACACTAGTAGAGCTTTCAATAGTAACCTATAGACAAACCGTTGCTACGAGGTCTGCAGGGCACCACTCAGTTTTGCAGGGCAGAAACCCTTTTCACCCCCCCAAAACTATTGGCCAAGTTACGCCCCTGTATATCTCAATTAGATCCTCTCGTAGATGACGGTTTGCAAGGCTGGGGTTGTTCAAAGATCTCAATGTTTCTTTGTGTGGGATAACTTTTCAATCTATAACAAGCTTAGTTGCTCTTTCCTGTACATTTTCAATAACTGTGATATATTTCTTATAGAATGGTGGCCAGGCAGACTTTTCATATTTTAGATGATGTTTATCAAGTGCTTTGAAAAGTCGTATCATCATGATCACTTAATTATTTCTCTATCCAAATTTATGAATGTTTTATGGATCCCCCGAGGGGTGTACTCTCATTATGGCCTTACAGGGGGGTCCGGTCAGGGTCAAAGAGGGCCAACGCTAAACTTTTGGAAAATTACCCTCAAATGGTAGTACTTTTTGACAAAACCACTCAAACGGTAGCACAAAAACCGAAATTATTTTCTTGGTAGCATCCATTTCTTTGTGCTCTTCTGGTCCTTTTTTGAAAAATTTCCTCATAAATGATTGTTGTTGTTTCGGGAAATATAAACCTTGCTCATTATCTATAACAAATCGCAAGCTAAATTGAGCAGTTCAGTTATTATCGAAAATTGGCCATTTGGTAGCCATTTGGTAAGACCCTCAAACGGACTGGACCCCCCTGTCAGGCCTTAATGGGACCCCCCCGGGTGGCTGCAATCTGTGCCTGCACAATGAATTTTAGCTTATTGTCAACATGTACAAGTACTAGTTTCTATTGTCACATGGTTTGGAACATCCTTCATTATGTAAGTTGCTTCTGCGTTCTGATTTCCTTTTCTTTAAATGCATTGGCTTGCATTTTGATGCATTGAGACACAGCTGCCACTTTTTTTACCTTGATCGTTTTGCAAACCCTGGTGATCAAGGTCATCAACTATACTGGAGAAAAACTTTCTGTCATCTGCAAACATACTTATCCCATTTTTTATTACGCCTGCTATATAATAGAGTTAAAAGTGTTGACGTCACCAAAATCCATTTTTCGAAATTTTGAATTTGGAACCCGGAGCCTGAGAGAGCATCATGAAATACCTGTAAATGCGCAAAATCAGTCAAATTTGTTTTGAGTTGGCTAAGATATGGCCACATGTGCACTGGCTCTTTTCCAGTCAAACCGCTGTAATTTAGTCTCTGTTCATAGCTTTATGAACAGAGCCAAAATAACAGTGATTCGTTACCAAACATTGGCCTTGCATAATTGGAAGTACTTTATGATGTTCTTTTGTGCTATGTGCTTGAAATTCAAAAATTCTAAAAATAGCTCTTGCGTGACGTGATACTTGAGAATTCTATTCACATGAAAAGAACAGGGCCCAAAAGATAGAAATTGTAAATAACGAGGGCCCCTCAGATGTTTTTTGGGCCCGGCCCCGCAGCCCCTAAAATCGCTGCTGGAGTCAGCGAATATTTTGAGTGATTTCATATATACAATAGAGGATTTTTAACACAAATGGGAGTATACAGGATTTGACCATGGGTGGGGTATTGGGTGTGGCTTTTTCAACACTCATGCGTAAATCTTTCTTTGCTTTTTGATTTTAGATTTATAATCAAATTTCCTGAAATTAGGTTTGAAAGCAGGAGAACGGGAAAAGAACTGCAGGCAAAATTTTACTTCTTTAAATTATTTATCTTAATATCATTCTACTCAATTTACAGGTAAATATTGGAAGATGTTTGATGTTTTAACCCTAGAAAAAAATGGAAAGGCTTAGGATTGATATTGAGGAGTCATGCAAACGAAGACAATTGAAATATTCACATTGTGAAAGCGAAAGCTCTATGCCCCTCTTTATCTCTATGACCTCTACATTTTTGGACTCTACACTTCTGCTTAATGATATATCCATATGTTCATTTTTAAGTTTTTTCTGATACAAAGTCGGTTCACTGGAAAAATAGTTTTGCAAGCGAACTTGTGAAAGTTTGGGTGCTTTAGCATTGTAAATCGCGGACCAATCGAATGTCCGTCCGATTGTAAACTGCGGACCTTTATTTTTCACTACCTTAATTTTGCGGTTCCAGATCCAGATTTATTCCTTTCAAAATGGTCAACTGGGGCAGACATTTTATGACAGGCCGAACTGTACACACATTCCAATGGGTGCATTAGCGGCAAAAGGTTGGTTGTTTTCGTAGGCGTTTTACGACAAGATTAATGTATGCGGAGCCGCCTAACTAGCTCTTCCCAAAAATCTGTTGCGGAAGGGGGGTAGTTGTTTACAAAGTCAAGGTTTGTAACATCATCTTAAGTTTTAGAAAGCAGATTCGGTACCTATATTTCAGGGCTTGAAATAGTAGAGCAAGTAACGAGGCTAATTAACGCTGCAGTTGTTATTATGAATTCATACGACTGTCTTGCCTACAATGGGCATTGAGAAAGTTCAAGTGGTGTTGCAACGACAGAAACAAAACTTTATGAATTTAACATTGGTGGATTGCATACAAAAGCTGCAATTATTGGTATGTATTTGCTTCTATTGGAATTATGTGCATTGCATTAAAAAGTCGCAATTATCTGGTATGCTGCCTTTTCATGTTATCCATTTGTTTTCACTGTCTATTTGTTTTGTTAGCATTGAATAAAGAATTGTCCAAATTGTTAGCTTTTTGGAAATTTGAATTTGCTCCCATGCAAAGGATAAATTGCAAATTGTTTTGATACCTGAAAGATCCTCTTATCAACCCAAAAGATATATTTTTTATCTGTGCACTTTGTTACACATATCAACACTGTCACCCCCTAGCTTTTTATTGTTTTGTTTTTGCAATTGTTTTACTTTCTTTTGTAAAGATAGGTTTCCTATCTCCATTTGTATTCACCAAGGCTAATAGTTAATGGATTAGATCAATTGAAAGGTCTCCAAAACTGTTTTGCATTTTTAACAAAAGATGATTCCCTCCCACAGTCTGTGGTTTAAAGCTTTGTTTCTTATCACTAAATCAGAAGTGAAAAGGTTGTATACACTGTCCACTTCTCCTGACCTGGTGGTCACTGGACTTTGCAACATATTTGTAAGCCTTTTTTCATATTTTGTTGATTCTAGCTGATTATACCTTGGGAATTGATCTAGAAGAAACTTTACCATGACTTCAGCAGCAGATATTGAAATTTGGCATGCTGCAACACAAGCTTATGAAAATGGGCAACTACAAGAGGCAGTTTCACAGTTTTCTTCCATGTCAACAATCTCATCAAAAATATATTTCAACATTGGGATTGTTTATTTAACACAGCAAAAAAACAAGGATGCTCTGGAGGTATTGTAGTTTCTTTGATTTCATCATTATGATAAGACCGGTTTACACAATCATATTCAGGAAAAATTTCCATCACAGAATGTAATCTTGTCAACAACCTTGCAAGTTGCTTGAAGTTGCATGAAGCAGCAGAATTAATCCCTTTTAATTGCCTGTTGACACAATCACAGATTTTTCATTTGACCAGCGAGCAAATGGAAATGTCTTTGATGCCCTGCAAACCATGCTATCCAGGAGAAACACACTAAGTGTATTCAAACCATAAAGAAAAGTGAAGTGAATATGATGGAAATTTCACCTGTGTATGATCATGTAAACCAGACTTTTAAACAGTTTTATTACATAATTTTAATACTTTTTGTAAAGTAAAGTGCTGGTAAATCATAAAGTTTTCATTTTGTAGTTATCTGTTGGATTATTTTCCTTAGATCCAAGGTTACTTGAGCTTTATACATTCTTTTGGATATAAATTCCTTGCAGGCTAAACTGATTTGAAAATTTAAGAAAGTATATGTATATGAACTATTTTATGTAAATTTGCTGTTTTATCCATTTCAACAGTAATGAAATAATGTCAAATCTTATTTTAAAGAATTTTGAAGAGGCAGTTAAGAAAGATGCCCATTTTGCAGTTGGCTATTATATGAGTGGAATATGTAACTGCAAGGAATCTAGGTATGTAATTAGTGAAGGCTCACACTTTACAACAGTGGCAGACACCTGGGCGGGGGGGTGGGGGGGGGGAAGGGTCGGTCGCCCCCAAATATGTTGTAAGACAATAGTCTTTTGTTTTACAACAATTTGAAAATGTAACATCATCTTCTCAAAACAATAAACTTGCCCCCATGTCAATATTTGACCAAGTGTCTGCCCCTGCTTTAAAACTATTCTTTCCAAGATCTGCAACATGCCTCTGAAATATTTCTTGCAATAGAGTTTTTAATGGTAAATAGGAAATAAATTGTTTTTTATAAACCTCTGAGCTATCCTAAATTGACATTTTTAGAATTACCTGTTTTTTTTAATCCTGTTTTTTGTTACAGATTTAGTACTTTTTGGTTACCAATTTGTATGTTGTATTAGATTCTCAAATGAATAATCTAGGGGAAATTAAAAGCAATTTGCTTTCATTTCTAAACAGGTCTGGTTCTTGTACGCCTTTAAAATATCTTAAGAAAAAATATACATATTACCTTAGATCATACAGCTTTATTTCCTTAAAGGAGACCAGCAAAGACCGGACAAGTTAGGGCAGATCAATCACGTTCCCATGAAACTTAAGAAATTATCAAAGTCAAGATCTTTCAACAGCAAATCTTGCCGGATCTTTGCTGGTTTCCTTTAAGGAAATATTTTAGTAGCTGTGAATATATTGTTTATTTACTGAAAGATAAACAATAAATCTCACAATAAAAATCAAGATGCTGATTCTCTGCATAATTCTTCATGATTCTGCATAATTGCTCTAGTTGAAGAAAATGCAAAATACATGCTCTCTCTGCTGTGGTATGGTCAATTGTAATATATGTTAAGTTCTTGTAAAAATTTAGATTGACGTAAAATATATGTATTATATTTGTACAATATAAGTAAACACATTTCATTGTAACTTTTGTGAATACAGTGAAAAGCAGTTTGAGCCTGGTCATATCAATAAAGAATTTTGAAATTGCACTAGGTGAGCAAAAGTATTGCAATACTTCGACGAATTAATAATGGCGTCAGCATTGAGAACAACATGCCCTTTGAAATTCAAACCACTTTCGTGAAACCATTAGGCGTCATTCCATGATTAAAACTCACTCAAACAAAGCCTTAAACTATCGGCAACGCTTTTAATTTTAATTTTTAGAAAAATGTCTTTTTAAAATATCAAAAAAGTAAATTTTTCATTAGACAGTCTCGAAGCTTTAAAACCCTTGTAAAACATGCTAAATTCAATCAAAAACTTTTGCACCAGATAACTTTTCAACACCACATGATAAGTTTAAGTAAACATTGGCAAGATCACATTTAGGTGTTTGAGATCCCAGAAGATCATTATTGGCCTTGAATTTAGCGAAAAGTGACACTTTTATAGACGTTCTTCAAGGAGGGTTTTTGAACACTGGCGGGTCACTCTACACGACTGTTTATCGCAGAAATTTTGGTATTTTCATTCAACGACGAGATGAAATGCTGTTTTGAACATATTGCTGTAATATTTGTTCCCTAAACAACATTGCAATTGGCTGGAAGACATGGAGTTAAAGGCTACTGACATGTTTTATCAATTGTATTCTGTTGCAACATGTTACGAAATGGTATCCGAAATTAGGCCTTTTTCAGGACTAAAAACGTGCGACCAAACTTTTGAGAAATACTTTAATACGAGTCAGAAAAATTAACAGATTTGGGCAACCAAACAAATATATTACAGTTACTCCTATCGCCATAGCTGAGTTTTCATGTTTTCGCAGTGTTTGATATGGCTTAAAAATAAAAAGAAGCAAACGATATATTTGCATTTGTCATATTCATTTCTCTACCTTGATAAATTTCCCATGCATTCCCACCCAAACAGTCATCTTAAAACTTTTATTTAATTTGCTTTAGCTATTTGAATTTTGGTTTACTATAAAAAGTTCGCGGCGGTGCTGCCATTTTGTGGGGGGTGGTGCAATACTTTTGCTCACCTAGTGTAAAAATAATTATGGTAAGGGGTTTTAAGGAAGACTGGCTTGATATCTTATGAGACATGGCGACGCGGAGATCTGAGTTCAACAGTTGTGGTTTCGAACAAATGCAAATATTCCCACGCAAGTTTTGCTTGCTGATGTTGTGCAATGTTGTTAAACAAATGTTTGTTTTCAGTTTTGGTGAAAATTCCTTGTTTAGTAAGTATGGCCTAGACGCCAGGGTTGGCAGATTCTTTTGGGGCTTCAAGCCAAATCAATGTTGGAAAAAAGCCAAATTAAGCCAAAATGTAAACGATGCAGCAAAACAATAGAAAATTTCAAGTTGTAAACGAGGCTAGAAGTAACTTTTTCTGTTCAATCCATAGGGTGCTTGACCCCCTTTAACCCTTACGTATTTCTCTACCCACGGCTTAAATTTACCACTCTTGTGAAAATGCTTAGGTATTCTTCAACTGACTGATGGAACACTTTTTCATTGTATTCATAGAATTCTAACACATGATGTACATGTAAGGGAACGTATTTTTAGTAAAATTAAAACAAAGCATCAAAGTGTCAAAATCACAGTAAAATATATGCATTAACTGCTTGAATTGTCAATTTCTGTTAGAATGATGAAAAAAGAAGGAAGGTAGGAAATAAGTACTTATGCCTGAACTTGTTGGAAAAAGCCAAAATTAAGCCAAAAGGTGACTTTAAGCCAAAAGGAATTTCTGGAGCCAAACAAGTTCAAAAAAGCCAAATTTCTGGAATTTGGTTTAAAAAAGCCAATATACCAACCCTGCTAGACGCCCCGAACAAGATTTCAGGAAGAACTTCTGACACTCTTAATCTCTATTGTTCATAGAGAAAAGGGATTCATCTTGTTAGTAAACAATTGCTGATTTTTCAGTGCGCCCACCCAAATTGCCACTGAACCAAATTCACTAATCCCTTAAACGTTCCGTCGTCCTGCCCCAGAGCAGGCTTGTGAATCTCTTCGAACTTTTCGTTGTTTTATGCCTCATCATAGACAACACTTTTCTCTTTCATTAGGTATCCTGTTGCAATTGAACAGTTTCAGCAAGCTTTGAAATGTATGCGTGGTAACAAAGTTGTTGATTACAAACAGCTTGGATTGAAGTATCAACTCTATGAGTGCGAGGTAGGTGCCGGCTATTTGGATAGAAAACAATTTGCTATATGACTATGAGGAAGGTATTGTAACCATGACGATGGTCACGACAAAGAGGTTGAAATAAGGTCATTTTGGAGTCGTGTTGGGGTTATACTCCCTCAATTTCTTCTATATCTACAAATTTTGGTTATAATCAAAATCAATGTTTGAAATTTCTGAAAGATTAGAAAAAAGCCGCGGAGTGATATTTTCAATTATACAATTTTACAATTATAACAGACAGTAATAATGGATCTAATCTAGAGAAGTAATAAAATTTCAAAAAAATCAGACTCAGCATGAAAATGAAAAAAGTGCAAAACTCAAAGAGACGAGCTAAACAACCTATGAATGTCGTGACACCCCTTGTGATTTTTCCATTTTATAGCACAAACAACACTTCCTTTCACAAGCCCCTTTCTGTTTCTACAAAATACACCTGGTTTCTCTGACTCTTAGGGGGAGGGACTAAACCGAGGGTTGGAAAATTCTCCCGAAACGAATAAACGAAGATTGGAATAAGCGGTGGAGTGTTTAAGTGGGCGAGAGGGATCGAATTCATAGGAAAGGGCTGGATGAAGAGTTGTGTACGAGCCTCTTAGAAATAAATTAACCTACTCTATAATGCAAATGGTGTCTTTTCTTGACATTTTTCTTTCATCGTTAAATGCAGACTGCAAAAGCCCAAGAGGAGATAGCACTAAATATTCGTCTCGTTATTATCTTTGAGTTGTTCAATAGATTCTAATAAATATAAAAAAGTGGGGAGGGGGGGGGGGGTACTATCCAAGGAGGAAATGAAGGAAGTGTCCAAAGATGGTTATCAAAGAATTCAGATTAACTTTCGCTAAAAACGGATTGAGCCAACCTTTTTGTAGTTGGTGAGTTTCTGAAGATTTTGGCTACTTAAATTTCAAATTTCAGCTGTGCTTTTATAAGCTTGTTTTCGCAATAAATAACAGAATGGAGCAGGATATAAATATTACGTTGGTACACGATTCTTGTTGCAAAGTCACTATTCCAAATGTAAAAAAGGAAACGATCAAGATCATTTGAAATACGAAAGTGGTTTACTTGAAAAGGAGTACTTGATGATGTCAGTTCCCCTTGATGGTGTTAAACCCCACTTTAAACTATCTGCGTTTCCTTATCACTTACTATTACCTTCTTTTGTTATCCGTTTTAAACATCGGTCTCTTGAAAAATCCACTAGAACTATGACTCTTCCTACTTAAATAACAGGTGCTCATGAATCATGCTTTTGCGTATTCAAAGCAAGGTGAAGTTGAAAAGGCTCGTGACGCGCTCACGATGGCAATCAAAGTCAAAGTTGAGAAGAAGCACGAAAGTGCAAGCGAAGCATTACAGCTTCTTCAGGTCTGGTTTTCAAAGAATTGATATCATCATAGGAAAATTATCATTGTCTTAAATATTTGTTGCTGTAAATATTTTTAATCCATAAAACATATACTTTTCATAGATTTAACAACCTTACTGAATCGTTTGAATTTCATGAAAAGTATGGTGGCAATAACTTTTTAAGATACATTCTTCAAGATTAACACTTTTGGGCGAATACTGAGACACCTATTAAACTCAATTTCAGTTGCTTGTCTTTCCCTTTTTCCTTCAAATCAACGCAAAATTTATTTGCTACAATTGTTTGCTTTTTGTCATGTCATAGCCTTATCTATCTTTGTAGGCAGGAAAACAATTGGAACTCATCCTGCCACCGAGTAATGCAATTTTTCGCCCATCTGCTCAGGCGGTGAAGAACCTAAAAAAGAAGGACTATTTAGGCCAAGCTAAGGTTATACTTTCTTCAACCTACTTTTTACACTTGAATATCTTAATTCTGGAATTGAAATAAAACACCAAAGTGCATTCCTGCGTTGCTTCGCTATGTTCCCAACGTATCAATGCTCTGACCCTATTTTCAAGGGGAAATGTTTTACATATGATTCGTTTTATTTGATCTAGGAGCGCAATTCATTTTAAGTAGCAATTTTATCCTTCAAATAGCGTACGGAATTTTCACAAAAAATCAAAAGTATTTCAAGAAATAACAGATGATACAATAGTATTTCAACCAAAGGTGTGCGAGATTTCCATAGAGTAATTTCCCCCTCGTGTTTCAAAATGTTTACATTTATATAGTTAAGGCTGTGTGAACAAGTAGACAGTATTTTAGAAAAAGACTTCAATAATAGAATTGGTACTTTATGCCTGGCCACTAGTATGTCAGACACCTTCAGTTTCGGTCCCTTGAAACTAAGAACGATTTGTTTTTATAATTTTTTTACTATGACAGGGATTGTGTATCAAGTGCCCTTCGATAAAATTTTTGATTGTTATTATGAGACTGCTTTTTTTGTTAGACATTTTTCTCCTCTTTGTTTATGTGTTTCATGTAACTTTATTTTTTATAAGGTTTTGTATACAGCAGACCCTACTGATAACACTCCTGGGTTTTCTGGTCTGAAATTGGTAGGTTGTTATTACATTTTTAAAATGAAGAATAATTTGTTGAATACGATGTTGTTTTTACTTGTTAATAAACCTTGATTATATGTGAATTTCTTTTCTTTTGACAATGTGAATTTCTTTGCTAGAACTATATGACATGAGCTTTGCGTATACAAACCAAACGCTGTCGTAGTCTCTACCTATCACAATGCTATCGTCTTATGTTGTCTGTTTGTCGTCAGATTAGAATTTTCTCGCAATGTACATATGCCGTTCTTGAATAATCTCATCTAAATACTTTAAAGCGGTATCTGGGGGGGGGGGGGGGGTATTCCCATTAAGGCCTGACAGGTGTCCAGTTGATTTGAGGGTCTTACCAAATGGCCCAGTTTCGAAAATAACACAACGGCTTAGTTTAGCTTGCGATTTATTATAGATATGAACAAATATGAACAATATTTTATCTTTCCTGAATCAGCAATAGTCAATGGCGAAAAAATTTGCCAAAGAAGGACCAGGCGCGTACAATGAAATATATGCCACCAAGGACATAATTTCGGTCCTTATGCTACCATCGGAGGGTTATTGCCAAAAAGACTACCATTTGAGGGTAATTTTTTAACATTTTAGCTTTGGCCCTATTTGATTCCGACTGGACCCCCCCCCTGTTAGGCAATTATGGTAGTTCCCCCCCCTCCCGAAAACTGGAGCAAATAAAACCCGATCTAAATCAGACCAACATAATAAATTTCCTAAAGGAAATATGATTAAAGGAAATACCTAGAGGAAAAACAGAGAACTATGCAATAAATTAACTACTATTTGTCGGAGTTTTACATCGGAGTTTTAAGTAGTTGACAAACTGATCTTGACGGTCGCCTCTGGCTACGTTTTACAATTTTTTGTAACATTTTGCGATTGGTCTGCCAAGGTCTTTGTAAAATTGAGTTTCTTTTATTCTTTAGGTCCAAGAAGAACGACAGAAATTAATGTCTGATATTTGTCAGCCTAATCGAAAGAAAACTTTAAGGCGAGTATCTGCACCAGCCGGGCCAAACGCTGAAATCCTGTCGGCTGGAAAAGTTCTTGAAAATAGGCCCCCACAGAAAGCTTTGCCTCCTGCTCCCCAACTACAGGAACGCCAAAGAAAGCAAACATGGGCCGGGGTGATGGAGAAACCTATGCCAATGCCACAGCTTCCTGAAGCACCAAAGCGACCGCCACCGAGTTCTCCTTCAATCCCAAAACGCCCTGAGGGTTCTTCGTGGAACGGACAAAAGTCCAAAAATTCCGCTTTTATGGAAAATGGTATAAGTCAGCCACCACGATTTCAAGCACCGAAGAAACCATTGCCAACTGGGCCATTCCAATCTAAAAACGAATATAATAATAATGAGGTATGTTTTCACAGCTTTAATTCGAGGTCTTTGTGAGAGTTACGCCATGTAAATTTTCGAGTTCATTTCCCCATCAATTATCAATAAATTTTATGGAGTCGTATGCCGTTAGGTCAGAAATATTTGTTTGTACTCATCTGCTTTCAATGTGCCTGAAAAAGTGAGAGGAAACGTGTCTGGGTACCGCCTCTTCGCGAGTAGATTTTGAAAACGGTTTAGAGGGCAATTGCCACAAATTATGATCTGTTAATAGATTTGTTGACGATGCGAAATGTCATTCAATTTTCTTGTATACTTCATTCCTTCCCCACGCCCTTCGTTGAAGATCATATCCCTGTTAAATTGCTCGTCGTGCTTAGCAACTCCTTTCACCTTCCTATACAGTTTCTAATAAGAGTATCTCCTAAGTCATTTATTTCCTCGATTATTTTCATTCAAGGTTACTTTTTATCAGTCTTTACCCTTTTTTCCTTTGAAGGAAACATGCCCGGTGAGCCTAGAAGTACAGTTCAGTTTTTCTGTTAAACTACAATGCAGCGAGGCGACAACGATGAATGAACTAAAAGAACTGATACTGAAGCAATCAGTCCCGGAGAAGCTGGATCTTTTGTATGTTTTCTTTGGAAATTTCAGAAAGTGTAGTCTTTTGAAACTTCAGAGTTAAATTGAGTGTCGCTCACACACCGATACCTCCTTGTTATGTTCTCTGAAAAATGGTAGGCTAGTTTCATTGAAGACATATCTTCAAACGGAAATCTCTTCACCCTGATCCATAAGTGCTATTTTCGACCAACCACATTTATTATCAGCAAAAGATTTCATAAGATACCATAACATACCAACATTTAGTGATAATACTTTGGATACAAATAGTTCAGTTCACTTTTACATTCCTTATCACTAAAGTAACCCTAATTCAAAATCTAAGGGCGGGTTTCTACTTCAACAAATCTGGTCGCCCGACTGCATGCGTGATTGAATCTGTGCATTCATCTGATAGTCTGGGAATCTGTGATCGAATCCAGTGGCTAAGATTTAGAATCCAATTAATCCAACTAACAAATTCTTTGCTTATAGGTTTTTATCTTACAAATCTTCAGTTTTGATGCGAACATGTGCACTGTCTTTCTTCTAAAGAAATACTTCTTTGTTTCAGGGGTAATTTAAGTTGGAAATATTCTTGTTGGAAAAGTTTCATTTTTCCTTCAAGCTTACGTACTTATGTTCTCCCTTCACCCTGCGTACATTTTAAATGCCCATATATTCTTCTTTTACAAGCCTCAGATACCTTATTTAAAGGAGATCCAAAGCGATATTTTAATGATACTCGTGCCCTGACTATGGATCACACAATCGCACGACCAATTCTCAAGAGTTGAAATCAATCTATCGAGCGATCTCGATGGCTACCCGACCAGATTCTCCAATATTGAAACCAGTCTTAACGATATTAATGAGTAAGAATTTTTTTGCTCGTCCTGACTGCCTTTTTTTGGCACGCCTCTCGACTCTTCTCTTCTTTTAGCTACGTCGACAGTTTGGGAAAACAGAAGAAACTTTCACAGGCTTCTTTCAATCACATTGTCCAAGGCACCATCGATAATGCAAAAATAATCTGTTTTGAAGCTACACCATAAGAGCTGATAGCAGAAGCATTTCCTGGTAGGACATTCATAGTTTAGAATTACTGTAAATTTATATATCCAAGGTACCATATTTGAGAAAATAAAATATTTTTAGATGAGTTGACAGATAGCTTTAACTTAGAAGCTTTTATTATGTATAAATTAGAAGCGCTGTTTTTGTTTTCTGGGCACTGAACTATTAAGCAATGCAGTGTAAAATTTGCCAGATATTGCTTTTATGTGAGTATCAAATATGTTTTCCTGTACAGCAGTAATATGAGAATTGTGTTTTTGTAGAGATTGTGTTAGTCATTAATATGTAATGATTGATAAAAATCATGATATAGTTTGTTAAAGGTGATGATGGTTATGTTAGAAGATATATATATTTTGATATATATATTTTGATTTATATTGGACTTTTAATATCCTGATAACTACATTTTCAGCGGTTCCCTCTGACCACAGTAAAAATTCTAAGGTCCGATGCTTCGTTATTGCCAGTGAAGAAGGAGCAAGCATTATATTATGTGCTGCCACAAGTTTATCCTTAGTTTATCAAGTTTATCACTCACGCATGCGCTAGCGATTAAAACGTGTCACGTGATATCACACACAGCTGTGGTTTCGTGTTTTAATTGGTGGAGTTAATAAATGATCGTTATTTCTAGGTAAATGAAATGTATCTTGTAGTAGCAGCGTGGCATGGGTAGTAAGTGACTTTTTTGTCTTTCTTTCTCGGAGTTCGTGTGTTTACAGCACGCTTTCCAGGTCAAAGAACTGTTTATGTTTTCACTAGTCAGTGCTCGTTTCGTATTCTTAGTCGCTAAGTACCCTGGAATTTGTGCTAACAACAGGCTCTTCTGGTCGTAAAAGATCCATCTGGTCTTTCGAAGTAACCAACCAAGAGATACATTCACAGAGATACAATCAGCAAATGTACGTTGTTGTTAGAGGTTATCAATGGCCGCTGACGTCATTAGAACAGAGAAGTCTAGACAACAAAACCTGTTTTCCTCAAATTCTGGTACTCAATGCTCACCTATTTATAAATATATAATCTGCTGAAAACTACACTTCTTCCGCTTGCGAAATCGCATGTTTTATATTTTTGTTTTACTATTCAAAATGCAACTACCCTCGAGTAGCATCTCGCCACGCACCCGTCCACCTCTACCCCCACTCTTCAATCTTGCTGCAACTATAACAATCCACTGTAGTCTCTTACTATGATAAGTTTGGGAAGAAGCCCTGCACTGTTCTCACATTTCAAGCTCGAATGTGCAATATTATAGTTGTTTCCTAGGAAATGTCCTTTGAATGATGTTTCAAACCACAATGAAATTCATATAAAACCCTTTTTGATTACCTGCCCCATTGCCCAATACACTGCTAGTTGCACAGTTCAATGGTGTCCTCACACGCAGCCATATTATATTGGATTTCCATAAAATTGTCACAGAGAAAGGAGGAAATATACTAGTAGAGTTGTCAGGACAGAACAATCAGTTTGGCAAGAATTGTTGCTTTTTGGGAGTTTCCTTTATTCATTTGAGCATCCTCAGCATGCTTTCAGCTTTAATTTAGCTGATGTTTTCAATCTTTATCTAAAACCGATGTTACTATGGCGACAGGCTAGGATTAATCCTTGAAGAACGATCCATATTACTTATTTATTGGAATATTTGCGTATTCTTGCTGCCCGGTGCCTTTTTACCTGCTCGTTTTCTCAAGCCTCGTTTTGATGCTTAGCTTGTTGAATGCGACAATACTCTTTTCACTTTGTAACAAGCATATTTGCTACGTCTTGGACAGTGGTATCATGATTTTAGTAATGACTTATACCCATGGCTTTTTATAACTTAGGACAGCACTCCATAGAGTTCCTTATCCCTTTGATACCCCACTAATACGATGTTGACCACCTCGAGCTTGTAGTTAATTAAGCTACATTTGATTTCCGCTGCAAAACTTGGCAGTATATTATGTCGTTTATTGATTATACCTAAGGTTTTTACATTATATCGAGGATCTTTTCTTAAGTTTACTGTTGAAGTTTCTGTTGTTTTTAGCTTAATAAAACTTAGAAGTTTGTTATGCATGCAGCTAGGATTCATGCGTGCATGCCGTGAAAAAGACACTATTGTGTATGTCTTGGTGGTTGTACACTTGTTGCGTTGAAAATCTACAAAAGTGGTTATTAAAGATTGAACACGAGAACTACGTTGATACATGAAAGTTATAACTTACCTGGAAGAAAATATTTTCAAATGTTTACCGGCTATACAAGCAGTTACTGGCTGTATAACAAAGTCGGCAACTTTTTTATGTAAAGAAATGAGTGAGATTATTTTTAAGCAAGGAAAGAAAACATTTTGAAATGTTAAAGAATTGTTCTGGAAAGATAGAACTGCTCGAGGGAGTTGGGATGAGCCATGAAATCGCCAAAGAAATTATCGCGAATGCAACCACCTTTGTGCAGACATTATCATAAAAAGGCAAATGTTACGAAACACTTGTGCAGATAAGAATAAAGCTACGCAAGGCAACGAAGAACAAGTCACAAAAGTTTTACAGCCACATAGAGACTCACTGAGAAGATCATTTACTATTGTATTTATTGTAAAAGAGAAGATTATAAAATAAATTGACTTTGAAGTATTTGTTGGACTTGCGAATGAGAGAATGAGCTGGTCATACCAGTGTGGTTTGAAGGAAAAAAATTCTTTATATATTCAAATTCAAATACATATATTGATAAATAAAAAGGAAACGGTACTGAGAAGGTATACAGGGAAACAAGTTTTTGAACGACTTGACGCGAACAGTACCCGATTGTTAAATTAAAGAAGCTGTGAATATCTGCAGAAAATTTTGGAGTCAGCCACCAATGTCCCGAAATCCCTTTTCACAAAGTTTATTTTAATACCTAAAAGGGCCCCAGACATACACCACCAAACAGCAGCAAAATCTGCAGTGCTATGGCGATGAAATTGCAGAAGATTTCGTAAACAGTGAAGATCAGGTCATGGGAAATTACAGTGGTCAACTTGAGGCAGAAGAAGATGAGTTGAACCCAATTTCTTTGGGTTTTAAAGCAAAGAAGACAATGATAAGAAAGAATGGATTCCATAGCACTTCTTATTCAACAAAATATACTCCTGTCCTGTTATTTTTCTACTATTTAAACATTTTTAGGATTATGACGTCATAAAATGACGATAACGCAATAAAAAGCCCTTTTCAAGCAATTAAGAAACTTTGTTGTAGGAAAGACTTGCTCCGTTAACTTCTGGCAATCTGTTAAAGTATCATTAAATGACAAGATACTGAACATTATATTGATGAAATATTCCTTGGTATTGTGCAGATAGTAACCATGAAACTGCTTTCAGAAAATAATAAAATTTTTTGTAATAATACAAGCATGATTGTATAGTTAACTGGTTGGCATATTGCAAAACGAAGTACGCATGCAAGCGAGGCTCACAACCAGAGAAATCATTCATCTAGTAAATCGCGCGCAGAGGCAATTGAGCCGAAACATTGTGCATAGACGCAATTGTGAAGATAAGTCGCCTTTTAAAATACTACCAGATTGGAAAAAGCTGTTTTGAAAAGATGTTCGACATAAGAATACAGCAGTGCAGATACCAATGAATTGTTTCTTCGAGGAAACAGTGTATAGAGATTCAGAGAAACGCCTCACATAGCTCTTGAATTCCGAATGCCATGTTTACAGCCTCTCTTGTATCCATTGATGCATTCCTAGTCTCTTGTATCCCTAGTCCATTGAAGCACTAAAGAAGCAGGCGATAACCATAACGCCGTAGACTAAGCTGCTGATTAAAACCTTCTAAGCATACCCTTTCGTAAAAGCGAAAATGCCTTCCAGAGGCTTAATTAGAGATTTTGTGGTGAATTCAGATTCGTGTTACATGACCGATTTTATTGTATATCCTGGTCGAAATTGCAATATCAAAACCAGAGAAAGATATCAGTGCTGGACTTTTCTGTGCTTGACCAAGTTGAAAAATAGCCCTGATCACGAAAACCGTCAATTTCTATTGATTGTCTTTGTGGTTGTTTGCATCACCTCCAGGTTAATTAGGTCGTAATGGAAACTGCCTCTCAAGCCTCTATTCCAATTTTTTATGTTGCATTTACTGACAAAGAGGCTTCTTTATTCACGGTTCTAAGATGAGCCTGCATAGAAACAGTTATCTTGACAAAGAAGACACTATCGGTGCTAGGGCTGAAATTTCCCTCTGTCTTCCAGACAGTCAAATGTAGCTCACTATATATTTATATTGATGTATGCGTTCCCCTCGACCCACTTCACACGACATAGTGTACTCAATTCTTCATACACAAAAACGATTGAGCAATGAATGCATCTAGGCAACTAATTTCAAGAAGTATCAACCTGTTTTAAGGCATACTTCTTTAAAAACAACCGAGTTTTCTCCTTAACCGAAAATTTCTACCCTTTGAACCTGGGTACTCAACAAGCCTTCTCTTGACTGTTTAATAGTCACTGAGAGGGTATTTAAACTTTGTAAATACATTTTGAGACTTTTCGATGTATATCGCGAGAGTTTCTTTAACTTTGCTACTCGGGTGGTTATATACACATAATGTTATAAGAATCAAACCTTGCAATGAAAGCAAACAGCATACTTTTTTAAAGAAAAAGGTAATGAAATTCGTGGAAAAATCATCTTATTTTTAATTGGTCGGTAAATAAGGACATTTTTTATTTAAAACAGCTGGTCATGTGGCTAGCAGTAACTCGAATTTCAAGGCAATTTTTACCATAATCAGTGAAGGATGTTCAAACTGTTGTTGACTCATTGCTTGTCAAGGTATAAGAGATAAGGGTACTCAAGAATGCATATAAAATAGAAAAAAAACAATCAATGTTTGGTGGAAACTGACGTCATGATCAACTGCAAGTCATGCAGTTGATCTTTGATTGTGAATTTATTTTGCTGTTACCAAACTAAACACTCTTACAAGCAATGCATAACAGTTCAACACATTCATTGGGCCTGCTAGATATCCTTCTTTGGACGAACGTTCTCTATGGAAGAAAAATTTAATTCGAAAGCAATAATCCACTTAATTAAAGGATAGCTTAGAGGTTTCAAAATCAAACAACTCAAAGATCTAAACTTATAACATTCATAATTGTTCCCTATATCACCTCATCATTACAAGCTAAGCTACCTTACACATATATGAATATGTTGAGAATCATTTCTATGTGTATATAAATAGATGATAATAATAACTGCATTAAATCTGATTATATTCCAAATTTGTATTGCCGAGCCAACTAACTTCTTTCGATCAGCATTGACAAGTGCTTGGTGTCATATTTCTAAAGCAACAACTTGGAGACACATCACCTCTAATTATTATAATAACAGCAAAATGTGAGTTCATTTTGTTGCATTTTTCACCTGCCTACGTACGAGAGCCTTCAAGCGCGTAAACAAAGACACCCTCGTGAAATCATCTACATAAAAGTGTGCACAATGACCCCATTATATACAGCCGCATTCATACCTTGACTCTATCCACTCTACTCACAATCAGAATTATTATGAGAAACTAAAGAATAATTTAGCGCCTGACAATACAGCAACCATATTGAGCGCATATCGACATTGCTCACACCGTTCGGCAGGTGCTGGGAATGCCATCCTGCTTTTTGTTATTATGCATTATGCTAATTCGCTCATATTTGAAGAGCTTTTGTGACAAGTCTGATCACGTGACTTTATCTAGCAGGTGATTGGGCAAACGAATTATGTCCGCATATCCATACGCCTAAACGACAAGCGAATTACTACAACAAAAGAGAGGACCAGGGAAAACTTTACTTTATGACGATAATACACAATTTAATGCGAGCGGAACAATCAGGAAAAGCTTACGTGGAATGTATCTGAGAAGAAGGCAGTTGGAGTCACAGGACCTATGATTTTAGTTTACCCTTTTCTGGTGTCGCCCTGGTTTTATTGCTGCTATGTCTACGCAAAACTTGGATAGTAATAGAAAAGCATCAACCATGTCTCAGTCAGGCGGATCTCAATCCAGGAGTTCATCTATGCAACGAATAGTTGGTCCTGAAAGGAAAAAGTACAGAAGTTTGTTTATACTGTCCGAGCAGAATGTCATACGACGCTTTTGTCGATTCATTTCTGAATCGAAAGTATCCTTTTCAATAGTCGACTTGAAGTAGAAGCAGTTCAGTAGTGTTATCGCAGAAAGTAATGTAATTCATCTTAGATTGCGAATGTTATAACACTTGAGTGTTTCAATAATGCTCAAGTATTAAGCTCGAGGGTCGAAAAACAAAGCATTCGTCATCGTCATAGGAGCAGGTAACTTTTCTTTGACGCGATGAACATTCGATGCTTAGCAAGATCTGCCTTGCAATTGATTATAAAAGACATATTTGATAAATGCTTATCCAAGCATCTTATTCATTAATCAACATCAAGTAAATCATAGAAAAGGCCTAAAAATGTTTTTATGTGTTTGTAGACGATGACAATACTCGAAGCTTCTTGAGCAACAAAACATACACACAGTGTTGAAATTTTTATTTGTGAATATCGTTTGTTATTCTGGAGATTTAGTGTCTATGATTGTGAATGCTATAAGTCTCCTTCTTCAAAATTGAATAAATATGACCTTTATCCTTAGCTTGGTTATTGCATCTGCAAAAGCCTTTCCTCTATTTGATTTTGACTTGAAAGGCCTATAACTTATAAATGTTGAATCTGCCATCTTCTTCCCAAATAAAATCTCGCTTTGAAATTAATTTTTTGTCAAAATAATGCTCACTCACACCAAACAGCATGGATGATAAAAGCGGTGTCACTAGGAAAAATTGTCTTTCTAGCCATTGCGTTATTCTTCCTTGACATTCTTCCAGCCTTTTGAGTACTTCATTTTAACAACAATCATGGTCAATTGCATTCTATTAGCGATGAACGCCCCACTTCCAAGTCTCGACAAATCGGAACTAAACATACAACTGGTGAGATGATTCATATAAAAATTGTTCTTTATCTTTATCGTAACGAAGGCTTAAAATCATCGTTAATAGTCTGTTTATGATTGCGCTATTAATCTAAAGCCATTAATAACAGTTGCAAGATGGGAATTTGCTGCGAAGTTACCAAACGAGCTGAGACATAGATTTGAGCGAATTAACAGTATTAGTCAAACATGTTGGCTTCAACTGAAAAAAAGGCTTGATACAAACTTGGTCATGATTCACAGAAAAGTTAATATTATATGAAAGAAATTTCAATTTATGTGCTGAACGAGTGAAATTCTCAAATTGTTTAAATTTTCTTCTATAATGATTATCAAGACACACACTTTTGAAAACTTTATGATAACAGACATTTTTATGGTGTGAAACAGTTTGGACAATGATGCAAGAAAGATATCAAATGCAACATTTAATTTTACTCTGAGAGAAAAAATTTGCATGCTAATTTGGTTAGAGAGCAATGCTACTCAAGTATGTGCTTGGTAAAAACAAATGTGTAATGTTTAAAAGATATTTACTTAATTCAACGTTCATTGGTCCTCATGTGTTACGTTATAGTAGCATTTCTCTAAATTGCAGTTACCTAGCTTTTTGTCAACACTGCAAGCAGTTTTTTATGATACTTCTTGACCAAAGATTTTTGCTTAGGACATTTCATCATGTTATTTGGTAGTCAATATTATACATTGACACCAGAGCGCGTTATGAAGCTGAAATTACCAGTTATCCAACAATAGCATTCAGGCTCTTTTTTTCATCATAAAAATACAGAGAGAAAACCATGTAAATTATGCCTTCAGATTTATATCATAAAGTTGTAGCAACAGATTATTTTATAAATGCAAATTTTTGCCAATTCCTTTAATTTAAGGAGAGTTAACAGTTGTAACAAATGCAAAATCCACCCAAATAACAAATGCAAAATACATTTACTGGTGCACACTTTTTGTAGCATCTGTTGGTCACCAGTGCAAATCTTTATGCTTTGGGCAATTGAATAAATCACCAAGAAGAATCAAGATTATTCTTTTATGCTTTAATCTGAGCGTCCTTTATAAATCACATGATCTTATAACATGAAGCGAGGTGCTAAGTATATCATCTTCTTAGACCTGAAAACATCAGCTTTTTTATAATGAAAGTATTGAAATTGGGTGATTTAATTGGTCGTGCAGACAAATTGTGCTTCATTACCCTGCTCATTTACAGCCAGGCAAGAAATTAATTAGCACATACTTCGGTTTAATTGCACATGTGTGAGATAGTTGTACGTAGAACAGAGATATTAATCTCCTCTCTAGCAGCCTAGCCTTTTTGCCTTATCTTGATTTCCTGCAATTCAAAACCTACTTGGCTTCTTTCTTGCTGTTTATATTGAATCCCGAAAAAATAATTAGTTGTTCTAATGATGTTGACTCAAAATGACGTCATTTCCTGATATGAAATGCAGAGTGATTCATAGAAACATGTCTCAGCTGTTTATGTCGGGCTGGCTTTGCTTTGTTGAAGCTACTGAAGAGAACTGCATTTATCTCTCCGTTCTTTTAAAATTCAATCGTTTATACATCGTTTTTTAAAACTGTCATCATCCCTGATAATCCTCAAGAAATATAACTCCTATGAATTTTGAAGGTTTATAGTTGGAAATTTCAAATCAGTACAGAGACGTGCTTCTGCCCCAATCTAATCCTCGCTAAAGGCAATCTTTGTCCTTCATCTATAGTGGCTAATAATTACAAGACCTAACAAAAATAGAAAAATATAAACCTTTTAGTTTAGGCTACCCAAACGGAAATTTTTTGAAGCGTTTTTGCTTCAGGTGATTCTGAATTTAAAAAAATTGTTTTTTTAAACTCGATCTTCAAGTAAACATTTTGTTCAATCGAGATGTTATGCTTCTAACAGTGAGAAATGTTTTACTGTTGCCAATGCTTTTGCTGCTGGCTAACCTTCACCCGAATTTCCAAAATAAGCAGTGTAACAAATCTAGTAACAATGTTTTGTGTAGCTACAAAAATATTTCACCCGACACTATCATCATAGGCGTGTACAACTATGGTGATGATATCTGCAATCTGTGGTTGTATCTTCATTTCATGGTAGTTACTTTGATATGCCATAGATACAATCCTTGCCAAAAATAACTGGAACGCCTTCTCATTGCAGCATGCAAATAAAAAAAGTCTAAAACCAGCCTACCAAAATATCACTGCCGCTCCAAAAATTTCGACCCCCTCCTCCCGTACAATGTTGATTTATTTTGCCAATACCCTCATACAGCTTTCAGCGAAAAACATTTTTACCTTCAGGATCAAAACAGCCCAATTGAACAACATTGTAATGTGGGGTAGGAGTGGGGGGGGGGGGATTTTTCAAAAAAGCTTCAGCTTTGTGCAAGTGTTCAAACAATTTTGGCAAGGATTGTAGCTTCCTGGAAGTGTTATTTTTCTTCTAGAACATCGATTTAATTGCTTCAAAACTTAAATATCGATGTTGGGTTTAAAACTTGAAAAGTCATTAGTCTAGAATTAAGGTTCTCCACTTACAGTATATCTGCAAAAACATGCTTTTGATTTCGCTTTGGGTTACTCCTCTTACAGGCTGGAAACAGAACTACCATCCTTGCCAAAATTTGTTGCAATGCTATCCTCCTCTTCTCATAACAATGTTCGTGAATTTTGATAATATTTGATTGTCAGTAAAAATCTGATTGCTGGGGGGGGGGGGATTGTGGAAATTAGTGGAATCCTTAATAGTTCGCAGATTTGAAAAATCCTGGAGGGTTGAACTGCTCAGCTTGAATAATGAATGTTTCTCAGGCAAGGACTGCAACTGCTGTCATCCTAGGCCCCATCATTAGCTTCTCTTGATATCACGGGTTGCTGTTTGTTATAACAAGTACAATGCCTCAATGAAAATTGGTTTGATTCTTCATTGCCTTAGAAATTGGTAGAAGGTTATTCTTTGGCAGAGCAGCTGTATTCATTCCCGCTCATAAAGCCTCATAAAACACAAAAGAAAGTTTGGGCGTTACCAGTTTAAAGTGTAGCTAAAGATCTCCAGGATATGTTATCGTATTTTAACCAGCAAGAAAGAGCTACCGAGCGTATTGAATTTCTCTTCATGATTCACTAAATATCGCAGGTTTTATCGGATATCCTAAATATTTACACACACTTATGTAAACTTTCATTTCGATATGATAATATTTGAATGGACAATTGTCGGTGACCAGATCTGTTTATAGTTTTGCTTTATTATGAAATCAAAACTTTTTAAAGTCTTGTAATGACTGCCTGACATGAGTTATGTGCATAAATTATGAAGTGCTACTAAATATGCTATGTTCTCAGGTTGTCATTGTCTTGCATTGACGTAGATGAATGGTAGACAAGGTGATCGATTCCCTTGGTGTTCAAGATCAGAGCCTCAAACATCCCTAGACAACCCTATTAATTACAACACAGTTCCACTCATATCAACTGTCCAACCCATCTATAAATGACTCATTTTTCTATACCCTGCAATCTTTGTTTGATTTTTTAGTCATTGTATCATACCACATAACGAAGAATAACCCCTTACGTTGATCTATACTTTTTTGTAAAATAATTCAATCCTCACCTTTTCATTTCTTCATGTTAACGTTTCGTCACGGACAAAACAAAAATTAAATCTTCTTTCTCCTTTACTCTAATTTTACCTTGACACTTTAGTTAATTAAAGAAAAAATTTTGTTGCTCTGTTTTGACTGTAGTGCTTCTAGACACAAAAATTGCATTTTGCCTTCTTTGGAATTGCTTTTTTGAAGAAAAAAGTTTGACATATTCTTAGAGAATAGACAACTTTTTTTAAAGTTATGCAAAACATTTGATACACTTTTTATACCTTCGAAAGAAGAAAAGAAGTTAATCAATATTTCTTTAGTTCATGACTTTGAATGACTCAATATCATTTAGTTCATAATAATTTAAACCCGGCAGGACTTTAGGTTGAAGATGAAATTTGTATTAGTATCAATGGCAGCCAAATGCATCTTAAGCTACGTAGAGAGACCTGGACTCTAGAGGTCGCTACATTGTTTATTGTCTTCTGGGGTGGTGCAAAATCACGTCAGCATGTGACACACTGGAAGGGGAAGCCTCAGCAAAACAAAGATGGCTGAATTCGGCTTTTTATTTGCACTGATGTTATCACCGATGAAAGGTTCAATTATTGAATTCATTTTCTTCAGACCTCAAGGTATCTACCAAGTTGTATCGCATTTGGTGTGATTGGTCAATTCTTGAAATATTAACCATTCATCTAATGAGATTTCAATGCCTAGGCCTTGTTGCATAAAGGATTGTGTTGCATACTTCGCACGTGTGCTGATCTTCCATTGAATGTTTATATTTTGTTATTGCTTTAGATGTGGCTGTGCAAAAAATCTGTTAGTAGTTCATTTTGAGAAATTTCCATTGCAAAAATCAAATTTTTCTACCCACCTAACTTACTCGACTTGGATACGTTAACTAACTGGATAAGTTTGCTTCATCAATATTCAGGAGCTATTATTTTGAAGAAAGCAAAACGCGAAAGTAATTCTTGCTAAACCGGGCTAGTATTTCATCTTCTTCCATCTTTGTGCATTTATTCCTGAGAATCTCTAACCTGCGAAAAATGGAAACACTTTTGTTCAACAATTTTTCTTGTTTTCCAACGCCCTTGCACGTGTAAGTGACTTTTATATTCTGTAACCGCTATAATAATTTTGCATGTTAATGTTGTTTTATTTGTGGTGACGTTTTCAAAACATTATTGATCCAACAACCACTGCTATTACTTAGGTAAAATCCACCTGAACATTAAAAAGTTTTCAAAAAAATGTCAAATATTACAAATATAATTACTAGGCCCAAGTAATTGAAAGGGTTTGGAGTTAGGTGGGCAAGAAATCAACATGAACTTCTTGTACAAAATTCTTCGCCTCTTTCATAAAAAATATTCTACACGGCACGAAATTGGTTTAATATTTAAAGCTTCCACCTTATTCTACGGTTTATTTTGAGGATTATTATTTAACTTTCTAGTCATTTTTACTCTTAATGCTTGAAAACTAATTTCTGAAGGGTGTACCGAAACATGAACGAGTTCGATGACTTCACAAGTAAAACATAAAGCGCTATATATGATGAAGAAACATTCTTATAAATAAATTGTTTATAAGAAGTGACTTTTGTCAAAATCATTTTTCAGTGAAAATGCACAGAGTAGGTTAATGATATCATAGACATGAAGAGAAACAGAAAATAGACATCGAGCATCAAATCTTTATTCTGACGTACAACAAACTTCGATTGCTTTGTTCTTATGCAAATAACTTCTGCTTTACGGCCGTTCTTGCTCATGATCTACCCTTCATGTGTTGCATATTTTGGTTACACCGCCTAGTGCATAAAGTAGTGTCCGTGGCTATGTGTGATTGCTTTGAGTTTCGGATGACTGGCATCAACACTGAGAGCCTTTCAAATCGAAAAAGTATTTGTCTGCACCTCTCTGACATGACATCATCATTGCGTGTTTGGCTTGACTCCACTGTTTTCAGAGTGCTAATTCTAGTCTGGTTTCTTGCTGAATCGGAACAGCCTTTTAATGTCTGTTCACCTTGAATTTGATCTTTTGGAATAAATGCGGTTCTCTTGCCACTGCATCCCTATAAAACCTTGTTTATTTAAAAACAGCTGGTTAACTAAAGATATCGTCAAAAAGTAGGTTTTTGGATTTGCTAGGGAATGAAAATTCTTCCTTATAAACTTTATTGGAGCAGCTTTTTTTAATCCATTCTGTCGCCGTTGTGAATAAGTTTAAAAAATCTAAGTAAATAAGTAAAACAATCTTTTCTTTAACAGTTGTGAATAAAAAAATCGATCTTGTTTGAAATGTAAAGCAAAAAATATAAAAAGGTAAAAAAACATAAAAATGACTTGACTTGAATCTCGTTTATTAAGTCTTTTACAACCCAGTTTAAAACAGCTTTAAGCTTACTACCAAAAGTTCGTTAATCGCATCATTTCTAGAGTTGCAAATATTCATCGAGAAAAGCTTGTTAACGAATAAGTGTTAGCATCTACTTTTTGTTTCATGTACTTATATTTTAAAAACGAGAACAACTGAGTTCATATCAATGTTAATGAAGAACTTATTTTCAAGGGCCGTCATCATATTCCGATGGATAATCACTCTATATATTCTAAATACTCTCTATGTATAAGAACACCGAAGCTTGATTTGCAAAAAGTTAGAACATCGTAAGAATATGCCAAGCTTCAGACGAAAAATTACAAGAAGAAAAAACAACAAGCCTTTGAAATTTCTCTCTGACATACACAAAACAAAGCAGATTTTTTCAGCAAACCAACCGTCCTACTTACAATGTCATGTAAAACTGATATTAAGTGGTCTTAGAAACAACTGATAACATGAAGTAGTAGAATAGTCATTCTTGAAATAAGAACAGATATAAGCATACCCGAGCCTCAAATTTTCCAAAAAATTAGAACATCGTTTGATCTAGCCTCGGCAAAGATTATCTGGTTTATATAAAAATGTAATGTTGGTTGTACTGATAACAATTTTTGTAATATTTAATATACATGACGATGATGGTGATGAAGAAATTTCCTTGATTGGAATATTGTCAATGGCAACTTCTAACACAAACTAACAGCTTCTCAAAAAGCCTTCGATCAGTGTTTGAATTTGACAAAGCCGTTCAGATTTGTAATTGTTAGTAGAGCTTAGATAGATTCTAGGAATATTATCATAAGCAAAAATGTTTGCCCGATATTTTTAAAATTCACTTGACAAAGCTTGAATTCCTATCACAGCATACACAGTTGTTGTGGTGACTAAACATTGCACCAAATCCATAATTCATAAGAAGCACGTAATTCAGGTCCGCTCAGAGCCTTAACGAGTCCTTCGACAGCTCAGGAAAGGACAGGCCATCTGTAATTAGATTACCAGAGAGACACCCTCCAATTCTAAAACTATTAAGATAGTGAAATTATCAGAGAGAAACACTCAAATTTGGTGTAAAGGAGACATCTTTCTAAATTTTCATAGGCCCCTTGTTAGCCCCGGGTCTTAGTGCAACTCTTTCCATACCGTCCTCTCGGTAGGCCTTGGTCATTCATAAAACTCATTTGTATTTCAGGGATAAAACTTTTCTCACAAAGCGACAAGAATTTCTTAAAGACGGGCATCATGAGAAATTTATAATCTTGTTCCTGTTTTTATTGAAGTGCCCCGTTTTTTTACTGAATAGTAAAAATTATTCAGAAAATGATTTGGTTTACAATACAAGCGAAAGTCAAAACTAACTTTTTTCATTGTTTATGTTGGCAAGGAACGCATAAGTAGCTAAATTCAGCCAAGTTTAGGTTCCGGTGGAATTTTCTCAGAAGAAAAGAGCGTCTTTTCATTTGACATTCAGCCAAGAAAGAAGCTCAGCTTACTTGCGGTAGGATTTTGGTTCAAACCAAGCTGGGTGTGGATTCCAAGCGGCATCATCACCTGTTTTCTTGTCACGTTTCTGATGACCTAAGCTTGAGGATCTTTTCAAGAATAAGAAAACGTTCACAAATATTTACATAGACTGACTAGGACAAAAAATATTAATAGTTTATCCCGGTGCTTCATCCCCATTACACGCCAAGGGAAAATCTGCCTAGTGTCTGCCTTTTTTTGTTTATTAATATAATTTTTCCCAAGATTTTTACAGTCCACATCCACTTTTCTGAGAACGATTTGACGATAAGCTGTCTTCTGTCATTAAATAGCTTATTTTGCGGACCTGGTCAATTTAAAGACTCTTTGTAAGAATACCCAAAGTAAAATTTGTCGAGCTTCGATATTCTTAAAAATGTTCAACCTGAGCGTAAAGTTATTCTTAAGTTAGTCTTAAAGCCACGGGTAATTTCTAGAAAAGAATGGAAAACGGGAAAGAAATTCCAAAGACATATTCAAAGCTTAAGATCAATTTTTATTGTTATATTACTGTAAATTTAAATATTATTGAAGTTTGAAAGTTGTGAGAAAACCGCAAATAAATATTTCTATAAGGTTTGAATGTTATGGTTGTAGAGGCTGTTTAATTCTTTTAAAATTCTTTCATCTTTTATCCTCAGTATTCTTAGAAGTATTATAAAGGTGTGTGTCGTGAATCAAAGTTTGACTCGCAGATACCCAATACCTTGGTATCCACTCAAAGCAATCACACAAGGTCTGGTTTTGAAAACAAAAACAGCATGTAAATCGTGCTGCTATTTAATAGACGTAGCAATATAGTTGAAATATCTGATCTGGTCTATTTTCCTCTCCAATTTTTTCTCCAATTTCTTCTGCAATTTATTATGTAATGTAATTCATAATTTCTGCTGCAATTTATTATGTAATGTAATTCATAATTTCTTCTGCAATTTCTTCTGCAATTTCTTCTGCAATTTCTTCTGCAATTTCTTCTGCAATTTCTTCTGCAATTTCTTCTGCAATTTCTTCTGCAATTTCTTCTGCAATTTCTTCTGCAATTTCTTCTGCCAATTCTTCTGCCAATTCTTCTGCAATTTCTAATAGACTTTTCGTTGCCAAATTAAATCATTGCTAGTAGATGTTTTCTTGACTCTTGGACAGTATGCAAGGCTTTTAATCCTTGGTTAAGCCACTCATGTATTTGGTAGTGTCACGGAGGCATGTTATTGGTGGACCACCAACGCTCCATCCCCTATTTAAATAAATGAAGCAATTAGATTAGAATGTCGATGTTTACTAATCGGTGCACACTTTTTTGGCTTTTTTCAAAGCAATTAGAAAAGACCCTTAATTTTGTCATCCAAGAGACTCCGCTGTGCCAACCATTTCTTGTCATAGAATTACGCTTCTAAAAGTTCTGAAACTTGTAGTCTTTATTCATATAATATCTGTTATTAGCTAGGTCACACTTCGGTAAAATTCCTCAATTGTTTATGAAATGAGAGCCGAGAACACATTACTAGTATTGTAACGAGATTTCCGTACTATTGAAGAAATTATAACATAAAGAGATTTGTCGGGGTCAAAAAGGAATTAAAAAAGACACGTAGGTCATTTAGTTGAATTCTCTCTTGCAGCTGGTCAGAGTGCAACACTTGCTATTAAAACGAACAAGCATATATTCCACTTTAAATTATCAAGTTCTGTTTCTTAGTTAGTTATGTTAGTGCCCATTTTCACGACGTAGAGCCCGGAAAGATGATTTTGATTGTCAAAATTTGACTGCGAAACCTAAAAAGATTATATAAACTAAACTAAATTGATATTTCACTGTTATTGCTAATTTTGCTAAAGTGACTTTCTGCTTTTGTTGTAGGAGAGTGCAGAAATATATTTGTTAGGGATTTTCTGTGTAGAAGCACTACTAAAAATTGCATCACTTGGTTTCATATTGCATCCAGGGTCATATCTTCGAAATGGATGGAATATCTTAGATTTTGTTGTCGTAGTAACTGGGTAAGTGTAATTTGTTATTCGTCCTTCTTCTTACTATTGTCGAATTTTCATTTTTAAATTTATTTCTGTATTTTAACGTGTGAAACTATCTTTGAATTTGCATCAAGCCATTGTGATCATATAGAAATTCCGTTCTTATATTGTTTTGATACTCGGGATTTCCCGTTATGTGGAAAATAGTCATGTTTTCTTTCATGATTAGGTAGAAACCTAGCGATAGGGACTCCTCATTCTTTTTTCTTACCAGTTTTAGCTTGATTGAACCTTCTGTTAATTTATCTTTTGCGTCCATGATCTAGCGTCCGTGTTTTCCAATTCTCTAGAGTTTCAGGGATATAGTTCTATGTACTGAACATAATTTTCTGAATTTTCCCAAAAATGAGATCAGTTTAAGGCATAACTGCATTTGATTTTAATGACTTTGAACAAATAATTTCTGCGCAGTCCCGAATAAACCCACAAGCTATCAAGATAAACCCAACAGTTTCGTATTTGCTTACAATGCCAAAGGGTTTACTGGAGTTACAGGGCCTTCGGTGACATAGTAAAACAACGGGCACAAGCTAAAATATTTTCTCTAAACAGGATATGCTTACCATTTCTTTCATTTTTCCTAATTGTTTATTATGATCCCCTAATGATTTTTGGAGTTTGATAATTGGATGAAATATTTTCATATATCCCTAAATGGCATCTCTCAATATTTTGTAAAATTGCGTGTCCTACTTATTTTGACCCCATTTAATAAAAATTCTTGAAATCCAGTCTTTACCTATTAATTGAGTCATTAGGCACCTAAGTCAATTATAAAAATAAAATTAAACTTAAGTTTGTTTAAGTCTTAATTTTTTTAAGAATTGGTTTATAATATGTAATTGACCGATACTCTCATTAAATATTTATCCTTAAAAAACCTCAATACGACATTTATTTGCCTTAAAATGTTCATTAAATGATAAACTATAGGCATTTAATATATTAAATTCTTTATATTAAGCTTATATCTAAATATTAAATCATAAACGCTGGAAATGTGAATAAAATAAAAAATTAGATGTAAATGAATTAATGTATCAACATTAGCAATTTCAGTTTCAATTTAAAGTTGTTAAACCAATATATAATACATCTAATATATGATACAGCTAAAAATTTTCATTTTTGTGAGACTTAATTATCAATAAACAATTAAATGCAATAATGATGTAAAAAATAAAATTTATAGTTTTAGTAAATTAAGTTATAATACAACTTGATTGTAAAAGAATTGTCATACAACACAAGTATTAGAGCAAAGCTGTCTTTTTCATATCACTGCTTAGACAGTTATATATTGCTTATTATCGGATAAAATGAAAAAAGAAATTGGATCATTTTTAAATTTTATAGATATATTGGCTGTGACTTTTCAGCATCAATCAGCATTTTATTATGAGCCAAGCTATTTGAAAAAACCAGCAAAATGTGCATCAATTTTTTGTCACTGCCACTCCAAAAAAGGGGCTAGTACCTTACATGAACATTCTTTTTGCAAGAATTTAACATCTAGGCATTTTTTGGTGTTGGCAATCATGTATGTATGAAAGATACATTTCAAAACCATTTATTTATCGGGTTTGAAAGGCACCAGTTATGGCAGTTGGATTTTTCAATTCAAAAAGTATGAACAATCTAAAGGCTGTAAAAAATTTTATCTTAAATAGATTATCGAATTGAATACAACAGCAGTATCTCAGATGATCCAATGGCAACGTGAAATATTTTTAGAGATGAATTGTACTCATTTACCAAAATGACCAAAAAACGATACGCTATTATAGATAAATTGCAATTGTTTCATCTTTATGCGTTTATTTCTAGACATAAACAGTTTACGACGCGTCTTTCTTTTTGTCTGCCTAAAAGTCTGCGTAAAGTCTGCTTTTTCTCAAAATATCAAACACAACTCTTAAGATATTGAAATCTGTTTGTATTAAGAATTTTTTTTCATTTGAATAATGAAACTGAATTAAAAGGATATGTTAAAAGGATATGTTTTGCTGTTTTGAGTTCTGGTGTTTAAAAAGCTTTGTTGAACTGTATATTTTGTATGATGTCAGATGTTAACCACCTTTCATGATGATTATTTCAAAAAGGAACTCTCCAATTTAGAAGCTTTTAATATTGCGAAGAGACTTCTCGATGTTTCTGGTATACAGTGGAACCTCCATATAACGGACACCAGTGGGACCAATGTTATTGTCCGTTTTAGAGAGGTGTCCGCTGTATGGACGTGTCATCTTTTTATAACTTTTGTTTTGGGACTCAAAAATCTGTCCGTTGTTTGGAGGTGTCCGTTGTATAAAGGTGTCCGTTGATGGAGGTTCCACTGTACTCGGATCCCCGTGCTCCATTTTCTATATCTAAATTACGATTTTTGATCAGGGAAAAGTTAAATGGAACAAGACTCCCAAAAAATAAATGCCTATGTCATAAGTATTTATGTCTGTTGTAGTGTGGGTAATCTTGAAATATAATTTGTGGGTAATCTTAAAGTAAGCTTATATGGCACTTTTTATTTGACATTTCTAAAAACGTCTTAAAACAAGTTTGTGATTTATGGATTTTCATACTAGTTTGTGATTTGCTGATCTACTGCAAAATTTATCAGAATTTTTTCTAAGCTCATGGAAGTCCGCTTGTAAGACAATGTTAATTTTAAAAATCAACATTGTGAGCTATAACTTTCATATTGACTTTTCATTCAAACGAAATGGAGCCTAAGCATATTGACTTTTATGAATTTTAATACCAATACAATACTTTTAGCAGCCAATGTCAGCCAATAGAACATTTTCGGTTCAAGATCATTAAGGAATGGCCTTCCTTTCAATAGATTCGCATTTCTGTCTGCTTTCTCAAGTTGAAGTGAATAACTCCCTGACAACATGTTACCCGAAAGTGGAATATTTTACTTATATCTGTCAGTTACAAGAAGCGACATTGAATTGTATCATAAATTATTAATGTAACACGGACAAAACAACTACCTAATTCTCATTGTGGATTTTTTCTGCCTCTTCAAAAACCAGATGTCTCATAAAACTTATAAACAAAGCTATTCTCCTGGCTGTACCATTGGTCGACAAAAAATTCAAAATTAGATGAGCTGTTTAGATTTTTTAATTGAAAAAGTGGATGCTACGCATATCGATTGGAAGAAATAGGAGATAATTATCTGATGTTTACTTTGTTTTCTAACCATGAAAGTCATCACTCTGAAACTAGGTTTCAATAAAACTAGCCAATTCAATTCATCTTGGTCTTCAAACGACAAAACCATCATCGATTCCATCAAAGTTCGTCGGATAAGCTTAACGTTACTCACTAACGCAGGAAGCGTTTCTTACATTACATCCTATTTAACTAGGACTGCATTTATTCCAAGCAGAACGTCTTAGGATATTAATATTGTATTTTATCACATTTGATTTTCCCAATCTTTACACCTTTCCATCAATAAACCTAAAGGGCAAAGAGCTTGAACTCTGGAATTTTCAATTTGAATGCATACTTTTGAGCGCATGTTAATGTCAACTGACCTCCGAATACGTAGAAAATTTAAAAGCTTAAAAAGACAGGCCCTGTGCCAAAAAGATTTCTTAGGAATTTTGGATATCAAGCTATCCACGCTAAAACATTATGCATATTCACCTGGTCATATTATTTTCATAATTTTGTTTCTTAATAAAGTTGTTATTCAGTTGCTTTTTTGAGATGTCTTTAAAAAATTAAAAAAAGTAAATAAAATTTCTCATATTTAATAAAGTAACTTTTGACACTAATCTTTTGATAAACCGTTTAGTGATAAATTAAAGATTTAATGTAATTATATTTCTACTTCAATTCTAAAATTGTAAAATTTTAAAAGCATATTCTAAAGATACTATCACATAAGTTGTCGTTTTTTATATCAAAAACAACAATCGGTATTTTAAATCTGAGAGACTGAAATATAATGCTAATATGCTGTCATTCTTAGAATTCCAAATAATTTCAAAAGTTGGAAAATTTATCAAATTCCCAAACTGCTGATAATAGCTAGTGCAAAAGCTGAATTTTGAGAAAAATGCATTTTCCGTTCATTTTTAATTTTTCAAGGCAAAATTATTCTACCGATAGCCTAACCTGCGCGCAGAATCTGAAGTCTCTTATCAGAACAAGAGACTTTATGGAGTCTGGGCGCAGACTACCGATATTCAACCTATATAGTGTACTTGGGACTAGAAGAATTTTTCCATTTTCAATGTTTTCCATGTTGACAGTATGTTTCCTCTTCAGCATTCTAAGTATAAAAGAATTGAATGTTGGTTTCAATGCAAGTGCCCTCAAAGCCCTTCGAGCAATGAGGGTTTTGCGGCCTTTAAAACTGGTATCTGGGATTCCAAGTAAGTCTTTGATAGTATAGATAATCTTTTAACCATGCATTCATTCTTTTTATCTTTTTCAGGAGTCTTCTAAAAATTTAACAAAGATTCAATCAACAGACGGCTATTTTCCTAAACATTAACCTTGTGTTTGTCCCACTAACATCTATCTTTCACAAGGACTAACATCTATCTTTTACAAGAACTTCACAAATCTTCTTTTCCGCGAAGTTGCAGTAATGCAGCTTACTAGAAAGCTTCAGATTCAAAGGAACTATCCTGCTCTGTCTCTAGCTATCTAATCTGGAAGTCAAAGTTGCAAAATATTTTGAAATATTTTCAGGTGCCAAAGTCCGGTACTTTTGTTTATAGCAGTGATTCTAATCTTGAAATGGTAGAAGTTACCTTTTCTTCTGGGCACAGCCATTCTTCCTTTCCGTTTCTCTCTTTGCTTCTAAACTCGAATAAAGCAATCAATCTTCAGAGTTAGTCTTTAAAAATCTCAATCACCTACCTCTATAATTGCCTGCATACTCAAAAGAGACACTCTATGTGCGCGCAGCACAGTCGTGCACTGGCAATGATGTTACTGGCTTAGCGAATATCAAGTTCCTGAAAAGTGATTCTTTCGTGCGTATCCATTCATCGTGTGTGAAATCAACATAGCTTGTCAAATGCTCGTGGATCTGATTGGTGATGCATCTTGGGATACGAGTGGCGGGAACAACCCCGAAGAGCAAGAGTATCATTATTGTATTTACTTGTTTTGCAGAATTATCAGTTTGCCAGAGCTGAAGCTTAATATCGATGCAAGCAGTATTAAAGCACTGAGGGCAGGACGAGTGCTTCGCCCATTGAAGCTTGTTTCAGGAATACCAAGTAGGTTCCTGCGTGTACATCATCTTTCTCAATCTATTCTTGTGTGCGTTTTGCGTGTCTTATTGCGTGCCAAGTTATTACGCCACACAAGTACACGATTCTTTATCTTCTAATGGCTTTGTAAAAGTGGCAATCACGCTTTTATCCATTCAAGCATCCATTATAAATCAGAACAGTCCACACCAAAAAACAACATACACTGACTGGCCAGAGACCTGTTTTACCATTGCAATTGTGCAAGGGTAAGTCCCTTTCCACTGGCTTCACCTGGTAACGGATTAACCGTCTGCAAATTTCTGCAATACACTCATCAATTGACCAAAAAACACGCACCATTCTGCCTTATACACCCATCAAAATTTCCTTGATACTCGTTCACCAAGGTGTTTTGAAAATCGAGCAAAAAAAGTATGTTGTTTACAGATAAAGTATCGTATAAGATTGGTTACTCCAATAGCGTTATCAAATCTGTTGTACACTAAAGGATATTTGGATATCAATCTTGGTGCGTTAACTTCTTTTGGTATAGTCACCAATGTCTAATTATTATGTTCTTAACTTATCCATTCTTCTGCATTTGTTGGTTTAGTATCACACTTTCCACGATATTAGCCATCTTGCTGATGCTAATACCAAATTTTAGATAAAGAATCGTAAAATCATTCAAAAAGATCAGCCAACAAAGGCCAATCAATAAACTTTGATCATTGATTTCATATCACCATGAATCATTTCTGATCGCAATGACCTCATACTATAAAAATCCTTTACCATTAATAGGTAGAACTTTGATGCATAACCAGGAAGCCAATAAGAACCACCATAAACATGCATTCATTTGATTCATAATTTGCAACGTTGCTGAATGTCAATCTTTCCTCTCCATCAAAGTGCATATAAAGCTTATATCAGGATTAGTTATTATTGCAAAGTTCATATCAGGAGAGGAAGAAATCTGCCTTTATGGGAAACTGAATGCGTTCAGTAACTTGTATCCGCGTGTGTTCGTAACAGCTGATCAAAAGCTTTCTGCACTGAATTGAAAGGGTGAACATTCCAGTTTTTGTGCAGGTTTCCATAGCTTCTCTTTGCTATGAGATATTTATACTGCAAGAATCCATTGACATTAAAAATGAGCGGCAAGAAAATGCCATTAAAGGTCTGAAGGCCGAAATTTGTTTCCTATTAGGAACTTAAACCATCTTTGTTACATTGTTTGTGTAACTTCATAAGTTGTTCTCGAGCCGAGGCAATTTTCTTATTACATGTACTATGCTGATGTCTATGAGCAAAATCTGTTGGACAAATATTTATTCTTTTCATGGACCTCCGAGACGAAACAGAAAAGGGTTCTTCCTTTACACAGAAATTTGTGCCCAAAACATGAAATCATAAAACATCAATTGAGGATTTATGTCACTCTGAACTGTGCACGTTTATTCATTCACAGAAATTAACCATAAGTGGCAATTTCTACAAGCATTGAAAAAGCCCAAAATGCAATCAAACCTGTTTCATTTCAAACTGTTTGCAAACAGAACGATAAGCTTGGAGATCATCTGTTATTGAAATGACTTGATCCTTAGAAAGAGATTACGTTTTGATTTCTGATCTTCATTCTGGAAAGAATTAAGAGCTAGCGTATTTTCTACCTATAGCTTTCTGTGCCAAAGTGTTTTTTTCACTTCGCAACCAGTAAAACACAACAGGACATCTTTAAACTCTCATGCTGTGTTTTTCAAAAGCATATTTGAGCAAACAACAGGTTTTTAACAGCAGCTCTCTACAAAGCCTTTTTAACAGCAGCTCTCTACAGCAGCTATCTTTTGGAAATCACTCTACAAAGGCTTTCTGCATCTCTGTTCAAAGACTGTCCTTTTAAGCAAATCTTCGTCTTTTCTCACTTTTTCTATTTTTAAAGATCTTCAATTTCTAGACAAGTCGTGCTGCATTGAAGATTTCTGTAACCTTCTCTCGTTTGGAGTCCATTAGCAAGACCATTGGCTTTTGTAGGGAGGAGGAGTGGGGGGCGGGGGGGGGGGGGGGGGGGGGGGGGGGGTCTTCAATTCCTATAATTCTAAAAGTCAGGTGGAGCATATCTGCGATCCATATTGGAACATTTTAACTGAAAACCTTGTATACATACCGAGATGTACCTACAATGAACAGAAATAGGGGAAGGTATAGGAGAAGAAATAGAAGAACAAAAAGAAAAGAAAGATCAATCAGAAGTATTTACTTATTTATGACAGAAAGGCTTTTACGAGAGAGAATGGTTGTTCAAAGGGTTCCTTTTTCTGTTGAAAATCATATGTTTAAACACAGAAAAATTTAAAATGGAAGGTTTATCAGAAAAAGATGAAAATCAAAATTCATATTGAACCTTTATCAAATGGAATTATCTTATTCTTTGAGCTAGTTTTTGAGAAGGAACCCAGCTGTGGGTTACAGTTTTTATGGACTCCAGGTGGGGCAGGGTAAACTGCTAAGAAGATTCGTTGATGCTATAATTTTTCTAGAGTCTAGGCTGTAATTGATGTAAAATGAAATTTAGCTGATTCATTCATAAAACTATGATGTGCTATTGCTGTAGTTTATTAATTCGATATATCAAAGACTAGGGCATTTAATGAAGATTCTGTTCTTCGGAAATCTCTGTCCTTTGTAATAGGTATTCTAAGTTCGTTTTTAAAACAATCCTTTCGTTACATTAAACTGACTAAAATTATATCCCTTTTCCTCAAGACTGATTTGTTTCCACAAAAATTCACATTTCCGAAACTTTGTTAGAAAATTTCACCTGTTAGTCCGGGTAGCAGTAGTTCTCAGTTATTTGAGGTTGCATAACATTGACATATTTTTGAAATTTCTGTTTCATTCAGTTACTAATCCGATGGGCTGCCTTTTAATAAACCTAACCTTTGAATCTGGATTGATTTGGTTTGCAAATTCATATACGCCATTAGATTTTGAATTGGACTCGGGCTTATAGCTCATGAATTAATTGAAGTTTATTGCGCTCAAGACTTTGGTTGGGCTTGAAAATAACATTTTTTCAAATATATATGTATGTACCATCACATGTACTTTTACTTACTATCCCTGACGTCATTAGGTTATCATGACCCTGGTCATTTGTTTTGCAAATTGAATCTCATTACCCTGTTGCCTGCATTATGAATCGAATGTGTGGAATTGGCCTATTTTAATGTATCTTTGTTAGCTATCTTCCTTATAGAATATCTTCATGAAAGACCCTTATGCAATTCTCCACTTTTTTCAGGTTTACAAGTCGTCATGAAATCAATAGCCAGGGCAATGGCGCCTTTATTACAAATTTGCCTTTTGGTTGGCTTTGTTATAATTATTTATGCAATCATTGGGCTAGAATTTTTACCAGGCCTGTTCCATTACACCTGTTTTGATAAAGAGACAAAAGGTGAGCATTTTGTATGCATAGCCAAAGCAAGTAAAAATTATCTGCTGTAGTTTTTGGAAAATACATGGTACCCACTAGATAACTTTATCATAAATTAGCAAAGTTTAATTTGTTACCGAACGAATTCACTGTATTCAGAAGAATCTGAAATGACAATATGCCTCATATTTAATATCTATCCTGACTTAAGTAGTGTTGCATAATCAAAATAAGTAACCTAAGTATTGATAAACTATGCATAAAAATAAAGAAGAAAATCATACGAACTCAAATTTCAGACATTTGTGAATCCCTTAAACCATATACACGGTCCGAAAATTTCACCGTCCGAAAATTTCAATGTCCGAAAATATTCCTGGCAATGAACTATATAGAAAATATGATAACAGGCAATGTTGATAATGTAGAAAAGGGATGTGAGACTGCAATTCCAACATAGGTAAATAATAAAATAGAAACAACTAAAAAGTGTGAATTCATTTGATTTTGTTAACTATCATTCACAAATGCTTGCTTAGTTTATATTCTGCATTCAGCAAATGCGAATGCAACAGGATCGTCCTCTTCATTTGACTTGCTTGATTCATCCACGTCTTCAGTATGCTCATCATCAAGCACGGCTAGCACCCCGACTTCCTCCAAATTCTCTTATTCACTTTCTTCTGTGTTTGAAAATGGTTCATCTGGGAATTCCCCAGTTTTAAGCGCCGTTTAAATTTTCTCCGAAATTCTTGTCCGAAATTGTCCGAAATAAAGATATTCTGGTCCGAATTTTTTTGTCCGAAAAACAAACGTCGACAGAAGTAGGATTTAGGCTAAAACATAAGTCATAATGTTGTTACAGCATTGCTAATCTATTGAACAGAACATTTTTTTGCAGCTCTTGAAGGCAATATTCTTTCTCTTGTAAATTCACAAACTGTAGTATTCCTCTTCTTTTTTCAACCTCTTTTTTACTTTTGACTACTTAGGATAAACTGCATTTTCCTTGTTGTTAAATAATAAGATTAATGTTAATAGTCAGTCGTGGTTACTATCAAATACTTGCTTATTTTAGCTGTTCTTGAAGAGGGGAGTCTGTGTGGTTTAAAGAATGGAAGAGCCTGTCCGTCTGGTTCCGAATGCAGGCGGTACTGGAGTGGCCCAAACCAGGGCATCACCAGTTTTGACAATATGATACTAGGAATGTTAACTGTATTCACCTGCATTACTTGTGAAGGCTGGACTGACACAATGTACTGGGTAAGAATATCCAAAACCTTTTTCTTTGAATGGTTTGCTTTGTACCTAAGCTAGTGACTCTTCCTATTTAGAATTTCAAGAAACATTTTTGGGTTTAGCGCGAAATTTTTAATCTCAAGTTGAATTATTTCTTTAATTTCACCTGTTGTCTTTCTTATAATTTAAATCCTTGGACAGTTCCAATGGATCTTCTACAGGAACGGGCAACATACGATCCACGGGCCGAATACGGAGCGTCAGCAAATATCTACTTGCCCTTGTTACTTGCCCATGTTTTTTCGGAATTGAAAATTCTTACAAAAATGTCTTACAAAGAAGACAACTGGCGCAAAGTATTTTCGATCTACATTAAGTATTTTACATATTAAGCTTTTGATCGAAATTCATACCCAAGCGAACAGCGTCAAAACATCAAAAATAGCGTTCACTCAAGGCATACAGAGGCACCACTGTATGTTCACTTAGAAGCTTCAAACCTGATTCTGGCAATCATGCTAGCAAGACGACGGCAAACGAGCATAAAAAGTTTTTGATAGAACATTTCAGGATTCTATTACTTATAAACAGCTATACGGGGAAGTTTCCTTCTTAAATGGATTATGTTAGAAATGTAAGGTGCAGAAATACAGTGCTAAAAGTCGCTCTACCAGTAGCACAGGACAAGTGGCAATTGCAGCACAGCTGGGGAAATTTTTCTTCTCTTTATATTCTAGTTCGAAATACGGGAGACTGGTAGCAAACATCCAATTCAGGGAGATTATCTGGTGAACCAAAGTGGTTGCAGTTCTAATTTACTATGGGGTGATAGTTTTGCAATGAAACCTGTCTTCAATTTTCCTCAACCACTCCCTGACCGACCCATCCTTGACCGACTCAGTACAAAACGTAATTATTTTGGCCCAAAAGTAAAAAAGATTGCTCGTCCCTGGTCTACTGGCTCTGAAATGTTTGCTACGACAGTTGTTTTTTGTAAGACAGTCATTTTTTAGGCTCCTACAAACTTGCTTGAGTCCGATCTCTTGGGACCAGGCATAATAGTCCAACTTGTGCGACGGTCAGGTTTACAGGTATTAAGAATGGAAATGAATCACCACAGAGTAAAAACAAATATTAGACATTGAAAAACCATTACGAACACCACAGACTAAATAACTTAATGATATAAGCTCAATTTTTAACGGAATATCATCACATGAATAACGTTAATAATTTCATTTGTGCCTATACAGTATCTAGAGTAGTCACGGATAACATCATAATATCTTGGTTTTCTTGCACAACTCTGACTTATAAGATGCTAAAAGACTTCAAAAAGATCGGACGTGGGCAATTATCCGATTTATGAGATCCCACTAAAGCGAAGAACACTTACATCAAACGGAATGGGTCCGTCTTTGCTCGAACTAAAGTCCGATTGAAGCACGTTCTGCTGTAAAACCTTTCCAATTCTTTTCTTTTGGCTTTTAAGGCCCAAACGGTGCTGCCTCAGCTTTACATTGAAATGGGCAAATTCTGAAAACCTTTTACCTGAACAGTTTATCTTAGGTATTAAATTGTGTTTTAAAACAATATAAATTCTGTCTGATGTGTTTTAAATTATTTTTGTAGACGTTTGACGTGTTTGACAAGAAGGGTGAATACATGTGGATATATTATTACACGTTGCACATAATAGGAGCACAGTTTATGCTGAATTTAGTTCTTGGTGTTCTAAGCGGGTATGCGATTCTCTTGATCATTCTGTCATGCATTAAATCATTACAATGAAGATTCAATTTTAGCTAAACTTTGTGATGTATTCTTTGAAATGAAATAAAAGGAAAGGTTTAATCAGACACGCTTAAGGTATCTGCTTTAAAACTGTCAACTTTTCTATCAACAAATTCTGTTTGGATGAAGATTGGTAGAGTGTTACCTGAAGATCTTAAGGGTGATGATAGAGACTTAAAAATTAACATGAATTTTTTGAGGGACAAATACCTCTAATATATGCAAAGAACTTGTAACTTTTTGAAACAGTACCAACAAATTATGTATCATATGACACAAACTCATCAATTTACTATTTCTTTGCCAATATTAAATGTTTTCATAGATAAATTTTTGAGACGCTAAATCTTTTCATTACATAATAGAGAATTCGCAAAAGAGAGAGAAAGAGTGGAAAATCGTCGTGAATTTTTGCGTGTAAGGCAAAATCAGCAGATAGACCGAGCTTTAAATGATTACATGAATTGGTTAACAAAGGCAGATGAGATTATTATTGAAGAAGAAGAGCGAGAGGCACAGGAGCGTAAGTATTCTTGAAATTTTCTTTTTGAGAAACATTGAGCCTGTCCTTGATCAATCTTGACTGGATTTCTGTTTTGACCAGAATTTTGAAGAAGGCATAAGCAAGCCTATTGATTAGAGCTATTTTACAATTTTTTAATTCGATTAGCATTGCTTTGTTCATACTTAAGAATAAAAGCAATAGGTCAGGGCTCTTATACAAATACTATAACAGTTGTGAACAATCTTTTAGCGTTACAAAATTTGAAAATGGCTTTGAAAAAAGCAAACATTTCACAAAAAACTAAAAGCTGTTTTGTCTGAGTTTAAAACGTTAGAATAAGGTTCTGAAAGAACAAAATGGAAAATATATACCAAGTTGTGGAACAAAATAGGCCAATTGAAAAAACATGACCGGTATAGTTGTCCAATCGCACTGCGTGCCTAAAGAAAACTTACCACCGGACTCCATGAGAGAAAACGAACTCTTTCTGTCTACACAATAGCGGGTTTTTTGATTGTATGTAGATCGATTCCAAAACTGCTAGATAAAAAAACGACAGATTTAGTCGTATTTCACGTAAGTTTTGAAACTCAACGTAAGATTACTTGGAGTAAGCCGGATTTGTACTTGAGGGTATTTTTCTTGTTTATTGAAACATCAATTTGCCATTAATGCTTTCATATTTTTTACAGCATTGATATCTTTTAAATTGCATTAATGTCATTTTTGTAAAACTTTAGAAAAGAAAAGAGAGAAAGAAAAAGGAATAGATGGTAATTTTGGAATGACAAATATCTTGGCAAAAGGAATGAACACCAAAAAGAGCTTTCGACTGAATTTGAAATCAAAGTAAGATGTTTCAAAAGTTTTTTTCTGGCTCGCCAGTAGAAGTCAACTTGCATAAATTTACGAATACCAATTGATTTACTTTTGCACTTTTTGATCTTGTTTTATTCTTGAACCAGGGTTGCTGTCGCAAAGGATAGAAGAGGGCTTTATTGTAGGCAGCTTCTGGAAGGCTTGTTTATGACCACACCTATAACAACACCCAATATTCTTGCATTTTTGTTAAAGATTCACGGTTGTGTATGTAAAATCACTCAAACTATTCCCGAGTCAGAAGATTTGTAGAGAGTTGTTAATTCACAAAAAATCTGCAGCCTTAAAGGGTCGCCAACACAGAACTCGTCCAACCCAACATGTGACTGCCTCTTAAGAGGGCCGAGCCCCCCGACCCTCTTCCACAGCATAAAGACTTTTGATACATCTGCCTCAAGTCTTCTGAGTTAACTATTATTTGCTTTCTCTGCTTTAGTGAAAGTATAAGAGCAAGATTTCAGAGAAAAAACAAGTTGATTCGACTGAAGATGCGACGTTTAGTCAACCACCCTGCGTTTTACTGGACTGTCATAGCTTGTGTCTTCTTCAATACTGTCTCTGTTGCATTACAACATTACAATCAGCCTGACTGGCTTACTGATCTGCAAAGTATGTTTTTTCTTTCTAAAGTTTATCTTCTAGAATGGATTATTGTCCTCAGATGCTTTTCACTGCCCCAAGATTAGTGTACACAAACCATAGATATTCAGCTTGCAAAAGAATTTTTTCAACTCACTTCCTTTAAGACAAGCAAAACCATCAGAGTTAGCCAATGAAATATTCCGAGTCAACATGTTATTTTCGCGGTAAAAAATCACTTAATACTGCTGCAGGACTTTCGATTTGATACTATCCTATTGTGTTATAAAGAGATCCAGTTATACCCATTTAATTTGTGATATCCTAATTATCTTTTAGATATTGCTGAAGTGGTTTTCATCTCCTTTTTCTTTTCTGAAATGTGTTTAAAGCTGTATGGCCTGGGCCCAAGAATGTACTTCAAATCGCAGTTTAATACGTTCGATTGTGTGGTAACTATTTTATTTTTGATGAAATCAGATGAATAATCTCAATGTTTTATGCGTATTCCTGTTCTATGTATTTGCCGAAACCAGCTCACTATCTTTTTTAACAGTCAATGAAATACGGTTTATCTGTAAGTTTATAGGCTTAATTTTCTTTGGTGTGTATTGCGTTCCATTTAACCTAGCACACACGTCCAGCGATATCTAAAAAGTCAACTGTTTTACTAGAATGAATTTTTTTTAGGCATTAGTATTTTCAAGCAAAATGGCAGCGTCACTGCAATTCATATTTTCAGCAATTTCATTCAATTCTTTTCACATAACAAATGCACAGCTTTTCCGTTGCAATTTTATGGAAAAGGGCGTGTCGCCTTTCTTCATGCAGCAATTTAAGTCACACGCATCCTTAAATAGATATGTTTATCTGTTTCTAACTCTAAAAGCATGTATTTTGCAGGTTGTCTGTGCTGGAGTGCTGGAAATAATTCTGTCAAGAGTGAGCAACACGCAGATGGGAATTTCGGTGCTGCGAGCTCTGCGATTGCTCAGGCTTTTCAAATTCACAAGGTAAATCTTTTGTATTACTATTTTTGTTGAATGTATTTTCATTGAAAGTGCCAATAATGACTGCTTGATCGCTGTTTTGCTACAAAAATGAGCAAGCACTGACGCAGATGCAAAATTTTGTCTATGCATTGTATTCAATATACAAAGGAAGGCAAAACAAGTTCAAGTCTAAGAAAGAGGCACAGTTTCAGAGCTTGCTATCTGACCTCCACTCTGTGCCACATCAAAATACTTCGAGTATTGAAATACCAAGTAAAAGTATGCTTAAATTAAATAAATGCTTTTATTTGCCTCAATTATCATTGAAAGAAGAACAAATGAAATAATTTGGTAACTTAAGGTGCTGGGTAGTTTGTTATCTCCATGGCGATAAAGGTCTCATGGATAAAATTGATGGATTTATATAGTAAAATAAGCTGAAACTTTCAAATCTTTATCTTTCATCAACCTTATTGATGTTGAATTCTAAAACTTCACGATTGATTGTATAAACTGAGGCAATCATAAACATATCTAAAAGCAATAATTTTTTGGAGGGTACGAGATTATTGCTTCGTTGCTTGAAAAGAAGCTTTTCTAACTTGTGGTGTAATTTCATGATACTATTCTGCTTTTAGATACTGGGGCTCTTTGAAAAACTTGATTGCCTCATTGCTTAGCAGTATGAAATCAATTCTCAGCTTGCTGTTTCTACTTTTCCTCTTCATTCTCATATTTGCTTTACTTGGAATGCAAATTTTTGGCGGATCGTAAGTAAAACTTGCATTCATTCTTTAACATTAATTAGTATGATATCGTTATTGTAAAATTTTTTGAGGTAATTCTATTATTTTGAAACTGCATTTATTCAGTCAGAAATTTGTCATCGGCGTTTTCTATTGATAATTATTGACGTTCCAGCATTTATTACCTTAAAATCAAGAGTTTTTTCAGTAATTTTTTCAATTGAAAATTTTTGTTTGGATATTTCGATTGAAAGACTTGAGCAACCTGTTTTAACTGTGCCATTTTTAATTACGGATGGTTTTTTGGTTTTTTTCTTCAGCTTTGCAGAGCAGATTCCGCCTCCGCGTACAAATTTCGATGATTTCTTCAATGCCATGCTTGCAGTTTTCCAGGTAGGATATCTTTTACAGAATTATCAATTTTTATAAACCTCCAGCAAAAAAGAGGAAATGCCACTATGATGTTCGATTGACACCATCATGTGTTTTGCTTAAATCGTGTTGTTTGTCTTGCCATCAAGTTACAACTCGCACATTCCAAAAGTATTATTAGTCAATGGCAAAAAGCAAACCTTCTGTCGAAAACCTTGTTGCCGATATCTCTTTGTCAAACATTATATTGTGTAAAATGTTCACAAAATGTGATAGGCCGAATACTTTGTTGCCTATATTTCAGTTTGAACTGCTACGACGTTTCATAGATCGGGGACATTCTTGCCTACCGCGTAATCTTACTGCTGCTCAAGACTTGCTTAACATATAACGCTTAGAATTTCTTACAACTACCTTTTCAAACAATCAGTAACAACATCATCTTCACAGATTTTGACAGGAGAAGACTGGAACACAGTCATGTACAACGGAATAATGTCGCTTGGTGGACCAAAAGACCCAATCGGCCTAGCAGTTTCTCTTTACTTTGTACTGCTTGTGGTCCTTGGAAATTGTATCATTTTCAACAGATTAATTTTCATTGCATCTTAATACTTAATATTAACCGTAGCCATGACTGGACTAAGGATTAATGCTTCATAAAGACAGCTGCGTAAAACTACTTTTTAGAGCATGAGGATAAAGAACGTATTTTGAACAAGGTCAAGCAGACTTAAGCCGGGCTGTTTGTTATGATGTCATGAAGTCATGATGCCATGATAATGGTAAGGTTTTTTAATTGTCTAAATCTCTCAGGCATTAAAAACAAAGGAAGTAAAACATTACGACATAATTTATATGTAGATAGAATTCATTTGCATTTTTTTAAAGTTGCATTGGATTCAGGGAGGGGAGTTCCTATGCATTTGTGGGTTTTGGCATGGACCTACTGCCATGCACTCCTTATGATTATTAAATGACTTTAATTTTAAGGCATACCTTCACTTCAGACAACCTTAGCAGCTTAAAATGAAAAATGGCTAGAAAACTTAGCAAAAGCAAAGAAGTATCTGAAAAACTGGTTTAAAGAAAAGTGTTGGGTACATGATTTTAAGTGATTACAATGTAATGATGGTCGAAAAAAGACCCTACTAAGTCCACCGATGGGTGGCTTTTATATATTCTATAGTTCTAGACACCATGAGTATTTGTTTACTCAAGATATACTTGGATTCTCCCTTGCCATTGATAAAGTGAGTATGTGGATTCAAAATGTTGATTACTCGTAAGAAAAAGTCAACTCATAAATTGCGTGTTTTGCAAATAGATACACATTTCTTTGGGCTTTATGAATAAACGAATCAGGCCCATATGGAGTGATTATTCATTCGATCTGTCAAGAAAAACCTTAATTTATAAAAGACACACTGCTGAATGTCTTCTTGGCTATCGCAGTTGATAATCTAACAAACGCACAGCTTCTTGGCAAGGATGAAGAGAAGGAAGAAGAAGAAAGACAAAAGCACCAGAAAGAAATCAAAGAAAAATATGCCCCTAAAGTCAATCATGATGATAGAAGGTTTGTTGTGCGATTAAAGTAATAAGTAAGGCAATGTACCGCTAAAAACAACCGTTTGTAAATGGTCAGTTTTTACTCGTCCTTTGCAAGTCAAGGTTATTGTTGATTAGGTTCTTTCAAGCATCAGCTACCAGAGGTTTTATTAACGATCGCTAACAGAGATATGGAGAGAGAGGAAAAGTAATGACATGAATTCTGTTAGTCTTTAGAATTTTAAACATAGTTCATTTCTGTATTTTTTTCGTTTAGGAACAGAGACAATGATAGAAATTCATCCAAGGTAATCGATACACTGCTTCAATACTGAAAGAAAATTTTAGCATAATCTCAAACAATACTATTGTTATTCTTTCGAAAAAGCTTTATGGGAGATTAGGCTCCTTCATTTCTTTATTTTGCGTTTGTATAAAAAAAATAGCTACGTTCAGACCAACTAAATAAGCTTCAAGACAACATAATCAATTTAATTACGTTGCTATGAATCAAAATCGATGTATCCAACATAACCGATATATTGCTGCAAAAGTTACAGGATCGTTTAAAATATGCAATGGTTGCAACTCTTTCCTTGGAAAAGGATGGAGTAGGTCTAATTTCGTTTGAGCTATTTCTCTAAATCCACATACATTGTAAATATACATTTTTGTTTTGAATTTTGACTTTTTGAGATTAGATATGCATTAATTTGGAGAGAAAGTCTCCTCTATTAGTGTAAGCAAGATATCCTGTCTGGACCTCGCCTGTACATTATTGCATTCTGAAGTCCCTCAATTTACACATCATCTGATGTGCTGAAATCTTTCATACTATCATGAATTTGCGGAGTAATTTTGCATTCTTTTTGAATTAGTATACATGCACTTCTGAATATCCATACTGTTCCTTAGAAAAAAGCAAACGTTTCAGATGACGAATTTGACTCAGGCCCAGAGGACGGTAAGCATTTTGACCTGCATCAAAGCCTTTTTAACCTTTAATAGATACCCTCCAATTTTTTATACTGTAGCTTTCTTGCACCTAAGTATTTCTTTTATTCTCACTGCTTGCCTGCATTACAAAAAATTAATTTGCCTATGACCATGGCTTTTGATAAATTTTGGTGCATAAAAGGTGCAAATTCATCTTTCTATCTTCTTAATTTTCCTGTTTCCATAACTATTCTCTATAAAAATTTCCATTGCTACAGAAAGCTTTTTGAAAAGGTGGCTCCGTGGCTATAGAAGTTTCGTATCAGATCCAAGGGTCTAAGGTTCCTGTCCGTGACATGACCAAACCTTACCTTAAGTTGGGAGACCCGTCGGCTCTTTGTATTTCCAGACGTAGGAGTCATGAGTTGTTGTCACATTGAAGAAGGAACCAGGACAGCGCTCGATAAGCACAGCTTTTAAGAGTCCTAAAAACTACCTTGAAATGCTAGATAGTAAACACAAAATAGAAGGCCATCTATAAAATGTTTTTTCAATACCCGACGTAACCCTCAAATAGTAGCATAAAAACCGAAATTTTGTCCTTGGTAGCATCCATTTCTTTGTGCTTCCCTGGTCCTTTTTTGACGAATTTCTTCACAACTGACTGTTGTTGTTTCCGGAAGAATAACAGTTGTTCATTATCCATAATAAATCGCAAGCTAAACTGAGCAGTTGAGTTATTATCAAGAATTGGCCATTTGGTAGCCATTTGGTAAGAACCCTCAAACCGACTGGACCCCCCCGTAAGGCCTTTATTGGAGTACCCCCCCCCCC